TCCTGCACGTCGAGCCGGAGCCCTGGTTACCCGTTAGGTTCTCCGCGACTGCGAATAGTAATCTAGGCACAATGTTAGATTTCAATATTGATTTGTTATCTAAGTTGGTATTGATACTTAATTTTTTATGTTCATATAGTCTGTACCTAGGTATTGTTTTAATTCTTGCAAGATGCAAACCAAGATACGCAAGAGGTAAGAAATATTAAAACGGCACATAAAATTAAAATTGACATTTCTATTACGTATGTACGTGTTTCTTTATTTATCGTATTTAATAAATCATTTTCTAATTACTTACAAGCGTTTACGTACGGCGTTAACGGCGTAAACCGATAATAGAAACTTAAGATGGTAATAACTCATTATTTTATATCGCATCTTTCTCAATAGGTACTTCTCGATGTTTTCTTACATTTTCTATTTAAGTATGTAGCCATAACAAATCGGAAAAATATATTAATACAAATTAATCATTAACCTATTATCATTTCTAAATTGATTTAAATTAAATGTGTCGGGTCAGGTTGGGGTCAATGGCATTCATTTATCTTTAAAAAAAAACGTTTATTGTAAACTCATTGTTTATGTTTGTTTTTTGTGTCAGTCAGGCAGTAAAAACTATTTTTTTTAGTTTTTTTTTCTTAATATGCATGAAAATCATGGTATAGACATGTGACATAGAGTATAGATTATATTTATCAGCTATGTTGTGGATAGTAATGATGAATGGGCGTTTGGACAAACTCAATGATAAAATAAATATTATTTTAATTGACTGTAGTGTGATACCGAGATGAATTGAAAAAATTAGTCAGAACATAACTAGTTACAATAGACATAGTTACATTTGACTATTTTGACTGCACGGTTGGTTCGGTGGTTGGGCAACCGGCTGCCGGGCATTGTTGCGGGTTCGATTCCCGCACGGAACAACTCTTTGTGTGATCCACTTAGCCTTAGACAAAACACAAATAATTAACAAATTTTTCACTTTACCGTAACAAGGTACCTACCTAAGTAGGAATGTATTTCTTCCTTAGGTATCTATTTCTATTTTAGGGTAGGTACCGTGAAACTTGGAATAAAAGCGAATAAAATACCAAAATAACATGAAATAAAACCAACAATAAAACCACCAGCACTCGTCCCAGTGCATTCATACTTACAATTGAATGACAGATAATATCATTCAATTGCATTAACTGTCATTATTGGCGCGAACGGTTACAATATGGCGGATGTTACATGTGATGTGGTACCTCTAGCTCTGCGCTCTGCAGTCACATGATAGGATTGTAAACAAGTAAAGTGATACACAATTGCACAAGGAACAGTGCATTAGTTTACCGTATCGTGTGTCCATTGTGTGTAAAATGTTGCGTGTTTGAGTGAAGTATGAAATTGCGGATATTATAATGAATCTTTTTACACTTACTGTCTCCATGGGTGTAAGCCACAGTTGATTATACATTTGCAATAATTTTTAACAGAAACTGGGCAACAGCGTCGTTTGATAAACGTAAACCTTTTAAATGGGGTATTTTCCAGGTTATCAAAATTAAAAATCTAATTTAATCTGTCAGTTACTGAAAAGATATTAGACACGTATTTTTTTGTTTTGTCGTATAAGTTGCAAAACTTAGATAAAATGGCGCTAACTTTAGGAGTCGTAACGTCATAACGTGCTACAAAATGTGACACGCTGTGACGTCACACGATATTTCAAATTAATATATCGTCGAAAGTATTTAATTTTGTGAGAAAGGAAAAAATACGTGTCTAAAGTTTTAAATTAATCTACCAGACGGACATTAAAATAAAATTTAGGAAACTACCCTATTGTGATGTCTAACTCCTGCCAAGCTTGATAGGACTAGTAACCTCTGCTAACCTCGTTTATGTAGAGGAGGATGGAGGTCCTTAATCCAGGGACGTACTGTCATAACTATATAAGCTGTTGATGTGTCGATGTTGTATAATATTTAAAAGTAACTGGATCGGTATCTATTTGCCATAACCACGAAGTTTACAATTTAGTTCCACTTTCTATCTCAGTGAAAGAGGAAACGAGATAGAAAATAAACTATTAGATAAGTTTCACTTGTGTACCAATCACTACGAAGCAATCAAGCCCTGCTGTTTTTTTTATAAATATCTAGTTTAAACCAGTTTTGGGTGAATGTTTTGTAATTTGTCTATAAGTAATCGTTATCAGATTACTCGACCTTTGATTATAGGGATTTCGTAATACCTATAGGTAGATAGATAGACAGACGTGTCTACAGCAGATAGGTATCTATACAGGGAGATCCTTATTGTTATATTTTGAAAAAAACTACGTAAATACCTTATGTTTACGGAAGGATTCTCCATTTAAATTACGAAGGCTGCTGTCGTAGGATCGTGCTCAATAGTTCATGATCGTCAATGCCAGTATATTTATTCTTGCGGCTCTCAACAACTAAAGTATATTTGTGTAGGCAATTTTCAAACAGTCCCACCTAGTCGGGGCGTCAGTTACTTAATGCGTATTCATTTCATACCACGGACTTTTTTACACAGATTTGCGAACTCCCAATAGGCGTTATTAGAATAATCGGATAAATTATTACGGCCCTATTCAGAAATAGATTTTTTACGCTGAAAAAAAAAAACAATTCAGGATTATGAGGAAGATCGACCCAGAATTTGATTGGACTACATCACGGAGTTCTCTTTATCATCGATATAGTTTTTATGGTAATCCTACTATTACTACTGTTACTACTTATCCTACTATCTTTGCTGTTAGTTTATTCTCCGTACCTTATTTTTCGAAGATTTTTAAACCCTAAGGTTGACTGGTAGAGAATGTCATAGTGCATTAAGTTCGCCGTGCCATAATCAAATTGTGTAAATAAAAAAATAACACATAGGCTACTTATTATCCGGGAACACTGGCAGAAGCTAATCTATGTATATTTACAAAATAGTACCCCATGGATTTCCTCATTTGCGCAAGCACTTCTTTCGTTTGTTCGCATATGAATATGAACATGCGTTTAAATTGACACCGTTGCCTTCACTCGCTCCCGTTCCGTCCCCAACCATACGTAAGTACATTAGTCATTACCTGCATGTACTATTTTCATACGCTTATGTACTATTTTCATCTAAGACAAATGTCACCCATGACCTAGATATCGATACCAATATATTCAACCTTCACTGATTACTGATTTCTAATGAAGTTATAAGATAGGGACTGTCTTTGGTAATCGTTGTATCAGTTGTAAATTACCTAATGTTTACATACCACCGTTTAGTATATAGGATTTTGAAACCAAATATAATCGTCATAAATCCTACCTTTATTTTAGGTAAAATGTTTCTTATGAATAAAATAGGGTAGATGCCTAATTTTTATTATAATGTCCGTCTGGTAGGTTCTTTTAAAACATTACACACGTATTTTTTATTTATTTACTTTCGACGATATATTGATTTGAAATGTCGCGTGACGTCACTTCTATGTACATTTTATACGTAGAAATGACGTTTTAGCCCCCTCTCCTAAACTTTGATTCGTTTTATCTAAGTATTGTTTTATTATACGACAAAATAAAAAAATACGCGTCTAATATTTTTTCATTACCTAACTTACGGACTAATTAGATTTTATATTTTCATACCCTATCATCATCCCAATTATGTCAATAGAAAAATTATCTCGAGCAAGAGAAGATGCAAGAAAGAGGGAGGTAATACGTAATGACCCGTTGGATATAATATTGTTCTAAACATACATTATCTGTTAAACCAAATAGGGCCGTGGCAAGGCCGGCTGTGACCCACTTTGACCCTGCGTTAACAAAAGCATACGAGAATATGTTTACGACCCTGGAGACATTTCGAAATAACGTTTTCAAGAATCATTAACCGGACTATTAGTCTTGTAGTCTCAAATGCAAGAGCAAGCATTCTTAGACTTGATTTCTGGTTCAGGATAAGGTCCAAGATACGGTAAAATGGGGTGAATAGGTATCGAGATGTGAATAGGGACAAAAGAGGGGTAGATCGATACTATGAAGAATTTCCCAATATCTATTCACCCCTCTTCTGTCTCTATTCACCTCTTGATCCCTAGCAACCCAATTTTACGGTATTTAAAGTTATGCCCGATCTAGCTAAGACTAGAAACTCATCCGGGAATATAAGTTATGATCAGGGTCGTAACTATACAGTTTGGGGCCCGTAGTAAATTCATTTGATAGACCCTCGTTCTCAATAAATAATAGAAAATTTTAGATGAAAACCTCTGAACGAGATCTCTTCCCGCTGGGTGCCCATTGCATTTTACCGATTTGCCACCCTGTACTTACTTCACTGGTTATGGTGATATGAAGTTATTTGGAAACACAACAACAGACAGAACCACTTGCTTCAACCAATGCGACCATGACACACCATTAATCAATGATCAATTGAAATCAATTTCGATATCGGATGATGTCAATGTGATTCTTATTCATTCATAGTCGAGTTGAGGATTTGGAACTAACATAACATAACATCACGCCTTTTATCCCCGAAAGGGTAGGCAGAGGTGCACATTATACCACTGTACAATATAACACTCACTTTTCACTATGTATGTTATGAGTCCCGTGTAATACGGGGTCAGCCTATTGCCATACACCGGGCACAATTCCAGACTCCGTGCTACTACTGAGAATTTTTAAAACCCAATAATACTTTGCCCGACCCAGGAATCGAACCCGAGACCCGTTAGCCGGGCAAGTCGCAATTGCGACCACTCGGCCAACGAGGCAGTATTGAAACTAATATTTAACAAATAGGCATGTCTTATAGAATAATAGGAAAATAAGAGACCAAATAAATGAGAAGATTCTACCTCTATATCAATCTATTTTTGAATAACACAGGCAAGATAAAAAATAAAAAGTTACCTAATACTAAAATCTAGATACTTAAACTGTTTATTTTTCTGTTTACAGTACATCGAGCGATTTTTGAACGAGTCTGAACATGGTGTGGTGCTCTTCAGCTGGGGTTCATTGATCAAGACAGCAAGTATACCAAAGTACAAAGAGGAAATCATCGTGAACGCCCTATCAAAGTTAAAGCAGAGAGTCATCTGGAAATACGAGAATAGTAACGAGGAAGGAACACTAACCGGCAATATTTTGAAAGTCAAGTGGATTCCTCAGTATGAATTGCTTCGTGAGTATCTATAACATTTAAGCCTAGTTTGCTCTGCGCTAGTATTTTAGTCGAGTAGCGAGCTCTCGTTAGCTCTTCGATTTTGACACAGAAGCGAGAGCAGGCTACTAAGTACTCGATACTCGACTAAAATACTAGCGCAGTGCATACAAGGCTTTATAATAAGTAGATAACTATTTTTATTGGGCAAAATATTACTGGGCTTCTAAATATTCTCAGTAGTAGCACGGAGTCTAGAATTGTGCCCGGTATATGGCAATAGGCTCACCCCCTATTACATGGGACTCATAACATAGTGAAAAGTGGGTGTTACATTGTAATGTGCACCTCTGCCTACCCCTTTTTTTTTAAGGGGGGAAAAGGCGTGATGTTATGTAATAACTATTTAATCATTAATTAACCGGGAAACTATAGTTTTATTTCTTCTCCTCGCACATTATTGCGATTGCGATTGCCGGATCCAAGACAGTTATTCATGTCTGGGATGCACCGGAGTTTAGTGTTCCAGTGGTTTCATGGTTGTGTACTGTAGATTAGTGTCGATTCTGGCTTAGGAGTTGCGCGGTTTTGAGACGTTGTGGCAGGATTGTCTAAAAAAAAGATTCCTTTTTAGGGGGACATTATAGGAAGAAAAACGAATCAGGAAACTTCTACTTATTCTTTATCCGTTTAAGGAAAATTGTTTGCTCATAGGAAAAAATGGCGCTGTTATTTTTGTTTATTTCCTACTGGTATATTTATCTATGATTTCTATGATCTAATAATTCGTAGAAGGAAGTAACTAAGACGAACAATGTGTTATTTTTAAATTAAAATAATGATATTCATCAACATCAAATCACGATAACTTGTGGTCAGCCATGATTATCCCGATCGTTGTTATTAAATCTAAGAATTTAGACGACGCACTGTAATTAAATTCAAACCAAACACTAATAGGAAATTGAAAAATCTAGTAAGTAAGTAACGTACCTATTGGATGTTTTTCAGTATAAGCGCAAACTCGAATTAGGTAAAATATGAATACATAGGTTTATCGGTACCTAGTGTAGAATTAGCTTGATTCCATTGATTCCAGTATATGTAACTATTCTGTCATTTTATAAACTATATTAAGATTCGGTTGGTGCAGTGGCTGAGCAACCGCCTGCCACGCAATGTGTCACAGTTTCGATTCTTGCACGGAGCAACTCTTTGTGATTCACAAATTGTTGTTCCGGGTCTGGGTGTCATGTGTATGTGAACTTGTATGTTTGTAAACGCACCCACGACACAGGAGAAAGTCCTACCATGGGGCAACGTTTTTTTTAATAAAAGAATAAATGTATTGCACCGACCACGCTCCCACTGCATCATCTGAAGGTTGACTAGTAAAAATGCCCGTGGCATTATGTCCACCCTTGTAGCAAAAAGTTAAATATATGTAGAAAAAGACAAGCTGTCAGCAACCAATCCTTAACACTCGATCTAATGAATATTAAAAACAAACTAAATATTAATATTTTCCCCACAGAACATGAAAAAGTCATTGCCTTCATTGCCCATGGAGGTCTTTTGGGTATGACCGAGGCTATATCTGCCGGTAAACCGATGCTCATCGTGCCGTTCTATGGAGACCAGATGGTCAACGGGGCAGCGGCTACGACTATAGGCCTTGGGAAGGCCATTTCTTACGCCGATATGTCGGAGAAGTCCTTACTAGAAGGATTGCAGAGTGTATTGAGTCCTGAGTAAGTAATCCATTACTTTCTACTTATTTATGAACTAGCTTTTACCCGCGGCTTCGCTCGCGTCACAAAAGGATAAAAAGTAGCCTATGTGACATATACCAATACACACAGCGCCATCTATACTAACACTTTTGTTTTCAATCGGGAATCTCAAATTTTTCCGGGATAAAAAGTACCCTATTATTTAATCCGGACTTGTAACTTTACGTCTGCAAAAATTCAAAGCAATCGGTTTAGTAGTTACGGCGTGAAAGTGGAACAAACAAACAAACTCACTTTCCGATTTATAATATTAGTAAGGATAGGTATAGACCATAGAAATATTAAAAAAGAATATATCTGTGGTATAGACTGACATTATATGCACCATGCACCTCTGCTTACCGAAATCAGCAGACACGAGCTCGAGCTATTAAGTTCCAAAAACAAAGGCAATCTGTAGAGGTTATCGACTATCCTGGGCATTGTTATTATTATTTTTTTACACTTTATTGTACACCACAAAAACATACATAAGAAAAATAAACATAAAACTCTGTTCAGCAAATAAAGACATTTGATTTGATTTCATTTGATAAAAAGAATGTGTACAATGGGCGGTCTTATCGCAGAATGCGATTTTTTTACAGACAACCTTTGCATGGAGCTATTTATTAATCCATGAGTATTTCTTGTCCCTTGATGTATTTATGTAGATACCTATCTAGGTAGATAGGTATCTACATAAATAATTTAGGGCAGGGCTGTCCAAACTCTATATCCTCACAGGCTAATTAAATTTATTACAAAAGCTGGAGCGCCAGAAAAATATTTTCAGTTGTATAATTATAATGACGTTTAGCATTGTGTTCTTGACTCACAGACTAAACTTGCATACAAATTACAAATCATACACTGAATTTTATATTGTTGTTGCACATAAGATGAAGATGTTGAGATTAAAAAAGGGTACCCTTCAAAAGGTGCCCAGCTTTTTTAATCTTGTACCTAGGTAATCCTTACTAATATTATAAATCGGAAAGTGAGTTTGTTTGTTTGTTCCGCTTTCACGCCGTAACTACTGAACCGATTGCTTTGAATTTTTGCAGACGTAAAGTTAGAATTCTGAATTAAATAATAGGGTACTTATTATCTTGGAAAAATTTGGTGTTCTCGAGGGAAAACGAAATTATTGGTATAGATGGCGCTGTGTGTATTAGCATATGTCACATAGGCTTTTTATCTTTTATGCGTGCGAAGTCGCGGGTAAAAGCTAGTAATTGAATATTATTGAAATGAATTAATGTCATCGTGCATAACAGAATATTATACATATAGATGCCTTTTTTTTTTTTTTTTTTTAAGGGGGGAAAATCATCGAATGACTGCTCCCGCCTGGGTGAGGCGGAAGGGAGTGTCAGACTCTTACTGACTAAAAACCACCCCGTTCCTTCTCCTGCACGTCGAGCCGGAGCCCCGGTTACCCGTTAGGTTCTCCGCGACTCCGAATCGGCATCGGCCCTATTGGGCCCCATCTGTGGTGGTCTGATGGCTCTTTGAGGCGCGCGCGGAACGCGACGCGCCGTACGCTCGGGTCTGTTTCTGGTCGGACGGGGAGCCACCCATGCTCGCCGTCCGCAGGCCCGCGCTTACGGTGGCCGGAGATCGTCCCGCGATCCCCGACGCCCGGTGTGTCCTTCGCGATGGCTGGGTCGCGAGGAGGCAGCGCTTCGCTGCCTCACGCGTCCCGCCTCCTCCTTAGCTAGCATGACTGCTTCGCAAAAGGAGGAGACGGCATCCCAGTCCCCCTCGCTCCGCATCATGGCCTGCACTAGGCCCGGACGCGAGAGGTCGCCATCGCCGATCACTTCCCTGAGGGCACGGCGGTGCTCAGCCCACGCAGGGCATTCCGCTACGGTGTGTTCCACCGTGTCCTCAGGGCGGTCCTCGCAGTGATGACACCCGGGCGTTTCCTCCCGCCCCATCAGACACAGGTACCTCCCGAAACTTCCATGTCCGGTGAGGACCTGCGTCAGGCGGTAGGTGAGGACGCCGTAGCGTCTCTCAAGCCACTCCTCAAAGAGGGGACTTACCGCTGCAATGGCAGCGAGCCCAGCCCTCGGTTGCGACAGTCGTTGCTGCCATTCCGCCATGAGATCGCGCCGGAGCTCATCCCGCCACGCACTTATCTGGCGCGGCAGCGGAGTTTCGCCCCGGCGACGTGCCTCCGCGCGCATGTTATACACGCGCGCGAGCACCTTCGCCTCCAGATCCCACGGCGGTAATCCGGCAAGGAGGTTCGCCGACTCCCCAGCGATCGTGCGGTATCCGCGGATCATTCGGATCGCCATGACCCTCTGTGACTTGAGCAGCGTCCGAGCAGGACGCCGCAACAAGTTCGGCGCCCAAACAGGGGCGCCGTAGAGGGCCATGGACCGCACGACCCCGGCGTATAACCTCCGGCAGGAGGCGTTTGGCCCCCCGAGGTTGGGGAGGATGCGTTTGAACGCAGCCCCCGTCCTCTCCAACTTTGGAGCCAAACGTCGGAAATGCTCTATGAAGTTCCACCGACTGTCGAGGACGAGTCCTAGGTACTTCATCGCCGTCTCGACGCCGATGGTAACCCCTCCCGCCGTTATTTGGGACCCACCCGGAGGTGGCGCGTTCCCGCGGCCATGAAAACACATGGCCTCGGACTTGTGGAGCGCCACCTCGAGTCCCAACTGCCGGATTCTTTCAACGACTGTCGCAACCGCTGTCGCCATTAAGTCGGCCGCCGCCTGGTGCGACCTCCCGTGCGCTAGCACCAGCGTGTCGTCGGCGTAGCATATTGTGCTAACGCCGTTCGGGAGGTCGGTGCGCAGCACCCAGTCATAGCCGATGTTCCACAGGAGCGGCCCCAGAACCGAACCCTGTGGAACACCGCGTGACATCTCTCGCCGGTTCCACTCGCCCCGGTGACCGGGGTAGCTGACGGACCTGTCCGTCAGGTAAGCCTCGATTACACGACGGAGGTAGGTAGGCACCCGATGATATCGGAGTGCCTCCAAGATGCAGCTCCAGGGCAGGGAGTTGAAGGCGTTGGCGATGTCCAGAGACACCGCCACTACGACCTTACCCCTGGACACTGCAGTCCCCGTCGTGAGGTCTCTAACGCGCATGATGGCGTCCACCGTGGAGCGCCCTCTGCGGAAGCCGAACTGGCCGTCCGACAAGTCCGGCCCAATGTCCGTCAGGTGCGCGACGAGGCGGTTCGAAATGATTCTTTCGAAGACTTTCCCCACCTCGTCGAGCAGCACTATGGGCCGGTACGCGGACGGAGAGTCCGCAGGGCGCCCCGTCTTCCGCACGAGGACCAGTTTGCCCGCTTTCCAGAGAAGCGGGAACTGGCCTCTCTCCAGACATGCGCTGTAGAGACCAATCAATCGAGGCCCGAGAGCCTCTGAGGCCAGGACCCATGCCTTGCCATGCAGGCCGTCGGGTCCTGGGGCGGTGTTCTTGGCGCCCATCCGGCGCACCGCCGCTCTCAATTCTGCCTCGGTCACCTCTGGGACGATGTCATCGTCGTCGTCGCTGTAGCCCGCGTCGGGCACCGCAGGGGGCGGAGTCATATACGGAGGGGTGAAGCCCCTCCACAGTCGGGGGAACAGGGCGCCAATCACCTCCTCCAAGACTTCTGGCCGGAGACTCTGAGTGAGCGGGGGAGCCCAAGCACGGAGCTTGTCGCGTACCATCAGGTACGGGCGTCCCCACGGGTCTCTATTCAGAGTCCCCAGCATCTCTCGGCGGGCCTCCTCCTTGGCCCGCAATATCTCCGCCTTGAGGAGGGCCTTCGCCGCCCTGTATCCCTCGTATAACTCCGCCTCTCTCGCCTCCGCATTAGGAGGACGGATACGGCGCCTGCGGTGCCTAGTGTACTGGCGTCGCGCAGTAGTGCACGCCTTGCGCAGAGCCGCCAGCTCTTGCGACCACCAGTACACCTGGCGCTTCTGTTGCCTCGACCGGATCCGGGGCATCGCCACGTCACAGATCCTGGACATGGCGTCCTGGAGCCACTTGGCCTCATCGTCAACGTCGGCAGGCCTGACCGGTGGTATCACCCAGGCCTGCACGATGGCGGCTTCCAGGAGCAGCTCCCGGTCCAGCTGTTTCAGCGCCCAACGCGGGCCACATGGGGCCTGTCTGACCGGCGGGTCTGCGGACTCGGCGGAGACGTCGAACCGGATATACCGGTGGTCGGAGTACGTCTCCACCTCCTCCATGACGCGCCAGCCAACAATACGCGGTGACAGAGCAGGGCTGGCGAACGAATGTCCACCACCGACTCGCCCTGCATCCGCACACACGTGGGGACAGAACCCCGGTTCAGGACGACTAGGCCTGTCTCAAGGGCCCAGTCTTCCACCATCCTACCCCGGACGTCGGTGAACCGGGAACCCCAAGCCAAGTTTTTGGCGTTGAAGTCCCCGAGGACGAGCACGGGGAGGGAACGGAACCCGACGACGACAGTGACCAACTCCCTCAAGGAGTTGTGGAACTCGGCGAGAGTTCGGTTCGGAGAGAAGTACACGCCCACCACAGCGAGCTCTCCGAACCGTGCTGCGACACAACCCCGGCCTCTTTGAGCAGCCTCAAGAGTCGGGGTACCGGCGGCGGCCGACGAGATGATGGTCACCGAGCCGTCCAGGTCCGCCACCCAGTGATCCCTGGGCAGGACAAAGTACGGCTCGGAGACCACGGCGACATTGATCGACCACTGCGCCATGCTCTGGAGCAGGAGATCCTGAGCAGCGGCGCAGCGGTTGATGTTCGCCTGGAGGAGGCGGAATGGGGCCATTATTGGCAGTCCATTCCGATCTCCTCAGTGGCGGCAGCGGCGACTGCGGTGGCAGTGGCGGCGGCGGCGGCGGAAACGGCAGGGGCGGCGGAGGGCCTACCTTTGCCCTTGGGTTTGGCGGGAGGGGAGCAGCCTTGCTCCCGACCCGGTGATTGGCCGGCTTGCCAGCCGCCGCACATGCATTGCAGTGCAGCGGGGGCGTTGCACGAGCCGGCCTTGTGACCGGGCCGACCGCAGCGGAAGCAACAGTCGCTGCGGTCCACCTCCGAGGTGCATTTGACACTCACGTGCTCCCCCACGTGACAGCGGTAGCACCTCAGAGGCCGGGTCTCGAGCAGCTTGACCTGCGCCGAGACCCATCCCACCAAGAGCCTTTTGCCCTCCTTCAGCTTCTTGGCCGCTGTGACGGGGCAGCTGACCACAACAGTGCGCAGCCCCGAGTTGTCCGGCGGATGGCGCCTGCCTTAACTGGTCAGCAGGGCACCCTCCCGTCCTGGCCACAGCGGCCACCACCTCACTCTCCGTTACGGAGTCGTCCAGGCCCAAGATCCTGACATCCAGGCATTTGGTTGGCCTGGACACGCGGGCCTCGTCCGCACCGAGGCACGCCCTAAGCCTCTCGGCCAGGGCGTCGGCCGATGGGCCGCTGGTCGCGCCGGGGACCTCCAAAAGACGGGCTCCGGTAGCGGTCACCTTGACCGCGAACCCGTCTGGCGCCCCGAACTCCGCAGGAGATACCGCCCCCTTCAATTTGGCGAGGACGTCGCCGTAAGTGACGCCCCTATTGACCGCCTCGGGCTGCAGCGTAATCACTACAGCCGCGGTCTTAGGGGCGAGGAGCAAGGCAGCAGCGCGTTTCTCCCTGCGCTGCTGCTGCCGTCGCTGCCGCTGCGCCTTTTGCGGCGCTTCCGGCCCTCCCTGGCGACTCTCCTCGCCTCGCCGGCGATTTGCCACCCGCCGCCGTCCTCCGCTCGCGGGGCGGGTTCCACCACCGCTGCCGCAACTCCAGCCTGCCGGGCTGGAGCGCCTCTCCTCTCCTTGCGCCCTGCGGGCGCTGGCGCCGTCGGCGCAGCTGGGGTCTGCGCCGGCGGGGGCGCCGAGGCCCTCGCTGGGGCAGCCGGTCGCGCCCTTGCCGGCGGTTGGGAGCTGCGGCTAGCCTGACCCGAGGTCGAAGGCTTGGCCGCAGCGGCCGCGTACGACCGCGGGACCGCGGGGGCGACCTGACTCGCCGCGAGTGGGGGGCGCAAGAGCCTGCCCTCCAGCACGTCGAAACGTCGCTGGAAGGCAGCCAACTCCGCCCGCAGCAGTCCGACTACGTCGGCCTCCGCCGGGGGCTGGGGGCGACTGCCGCGAGCAGCGGCGAGCTCGGCCCTGGCCGTCCGCAGCTCGGCCTCCAGAGCCGCATTGGAGGCCGCCAAGCGCGCCAGCTCTCGCCGCATCTCGGCCAGCTCGGAGCGCACCTTTCCCGCAGTGGGCACCGCACACTGCTCCAAGGCCGCCTCCGTTATGTGGCCGCCGCCGCCTGAGGAGGCGGAGCCTAACCGGCTGGGATTTCCCCATCGCCAGCTTGTAGAGCTCCGCCGTAATGGCCTGTTGGAGGCCCCCGGAGCAGCTCTCGCTCTCAGAGCCGCGCTCGCCCTCCGACATCTCCACGCCGGACATCTCGGCCGCAGAGGACTCCGACGGGCAGCCTTGAGAGAGCCCTGCCCTCCGCGGCCAGCTGCTCGGCTGACTCCGCGCAGGCAGCTGGTGCCGGTTTCCGGCGACCGCTGCCCTTGCCGCCCCTACCCCGCGCTGCCGTGGGGACCTTGGGGGGAGGCCCTCCTGAGCGCCGGAGGACGGGGACAAACTGTCCTCCTCCAGCCTGGGCGCTTGAACGTCCCCGTCGCGCGGCGGCGTGAGCCTTTCGAGCTCACGCTCAGCCGCTCCGCCAATGTTGTGTCGGACTCTGAGTCCGACCCCCTTCTATTAGACTCCCATGTGTGGGGCCTGCTGGACGAGTCCAGCGCCTCACCACGAGTCCCGGAGCACTTGGGCTCCCTTCCCTGCTACTGCAGGCGAGCCAAGCTCACCCGCACTCTCCTCCTCCGGTTGTGTGGTTTTTTTAATTTGTTGTTCAACTCCATAAAGTTCCCACGAGTATGGGGGAAATATTCGGTCCCCCAGGCAGTGCCCCCTGTACCTGGGTAAGTGTTAATTTGTTTCCCAACTAGAGGTTCCACTGGTCCCCTAGCTGGGGGTGCGCTCGCGACTGACACTACTCCTCAGCCATGCATACTCTCGCCGCGCACCAGAACTTAGTATTGGAGGAATTTTTTATAGAGGTTATCTTCCTCGCGGTCCGGGCGACCAAGCCAAGACCCTCGTCCCGTTCAGAGTCACAAAACATGACCGTGATCTCCTTACGGATTACGATATCGACGGCTGCAATCGGGGACAGCTTGTGTCCCGATGCTGCTCGCTGGCAGGGTGAGTGCACAACGAGCACCGCCTTTGCCTCTCCGCCACGCTCTCTGCTATATCCAGAGAGACGGGCGGAGAAACGCCCCTCGGAAGCGCGGGCTATGAGCCTCCGCACACAGCCCGCCGCCTCCAGAACCCTGTCGGGTTCGCCCGCCCAGTCCAGAAGTCTGCTGCGGGCGACAGTCACTCCAACCCTATCACCCCCGCTAGGGAGACTGTCGCCCGCACCCAGGGTGCACCACGGGGAGGTCTTCTGGCACCGCACCCCACATATAGATGCCTAACAACAAACAGGGAAGTAGAATATATTGTATGTCAAAGATAGATCTATAAAATATGAAAATTTTAATTAAATATGACTTAAATTGATATGAATCGTGTAGTGAGCATTACAGCAATGGACTAGGGTCATACCATTTTATGGAATAAGCCGGTAAACGAGCAGACGGATCACCTAATGTAAGCAATCAGCGCCGCCTATGGACACCTGGAATACCAGAGGCCTTACTAGTGCGTTACCGATCTTTTGGGGATTAGGAATTTGAGGATTGTTGGGGATTCAGGGATTAGGCAGAGACCTTTTTTGAGGGGGGAAAATCATCTATGACTTTTTCCGCCCGAGTCAAGGCGAGAGGGAGTGTCATACTCTTACTGACTAAAAACCACCCCGTTCCTACTTCTGCACTTCGAGCCGGGGGGGGGGGGGTACATATATTATCTACCTATTAAGAAAAATATCTCATTTTATCAGCTAACCTAATTAGTTTGCTTTTTTATTTCAGTCTAAAGCATATGTATAGTTAGACAGTAAAAAGATATTTTACCATTTTCGAATAGTAGGTACCTAGTCCTACTGGGTATGGTACAAGAACAAAACGCCAAATGGCAAAAATGTTTTAGAATAAAATATTTTTGCTTTAAGAATAGGAACATCGCAAAGAAAATGATAAATGCTGTCCATTAGGCATTAACTATGTCGGATAAATGTGAACACTGCAATATAAATAACTAGGTAGGTACACGTACCTACGTGTAGGTTAAAAATGAATGAATTTGTTATCCTAAACAAATTGTGATCGTGATATCCGGTCAAATTAAATACTTTTTTGAAACGTCAACGATGTATGGTGAGCACCGAAATGACTTTGTATGAGCGTTCACTTTTTTGACGTCACATTTGAAATAAACACGAAAATAAAGATAAGTTTTACGTTAGCATTACCTAAGGGTATAAATAGTTTAATTTCCATATTTATATTAGTAGGAAATAAATATATTAGGTATATCGTTATTCATAAGTCGTGAATTATTAAACATAAGCATTAGAGCTACGTTTGTATTTGGAATTCAAATGCATTTGTTTCCATTTGTCAAAGTAATAGTTCATAATCAACTTAGATATGTAGGTAGGACCAGTAGACTACCAACAAGTGAGGATTTGATTTATATTCTTGATAGTATCTAAAGAGGTAACCAATGAAAAAAAATATTACTTATTTATTTATTTACTTACTACGATAGTACATTCTAATGATTTTACTTTATTACTTGTTGGTATTTCCTTTTAAATTCGCATCGATTACTGTCGATATAGTAACAAAATGTAATTATTACAATGAGAAAATATAGGATGAGAATAAAGTAGTAGTTTTCAAGTAAAGGCACGCAACTTACGCAAAGCATAGTTCATGAAATTTAATGACAATTGTTTCTGGGAATATAGAAACAATCCATTTTATCTAGCGATTGTTCTATTTTACTTTGTTACAAATGGCTATATGCCAGCCAGCGTTACATAATGAGGTGTTAGTGTTCTTTAAAATAGGCAATCTATTTAGGGTTCACTGACAATTATCATAGGTTTTAAATATATGGTAATTAAACCTCGGCTTAAAAATTTAACAAAGTTTATTATGATTGGTATTTATTACCAACCTAATCACTGCATTTTCTTAAAACTACTATATTTGTTTGTTGTAGGAGTTGGTCTATTTAAGGTTTTAAAACATAGCCATGAAAAACACAAGCATTTATCTACTTAATTCATAATTAACAAAAATAGACGCATCTAGAAGAAATTATGTTACTTGTAATTTACAAACACAATAAATTACAAGTAAGTACCTACCTATAATAAATTGTTATGATTAATGTTTCGGTAACCGTATAAATATAACTGTTAACGATTTTAAGACAATTAAAAAAATACAGTAAAATGGTAGTAAAGAAATAGAATATATGTAAACAATGATATTGACGTCATAACAACGTGACTACATATTTATATAACTGTAACTATTTTTCAGCCTTGTCAGTCACCATGTAGCGGGATAGTATTGCGACGAATTTTATCACGTTTTACTAATAATATAAGATTTATTTTAAAGTTATGACAGTGAATTAATACTTTGAAATATTAAATGTCCATTGTACGCAGATACAATCTACATAGAAATATATAAACACGATAAATTGCATATTTTTATTGAATATTAAGTTACTCATCTTTCAAAATGAAATGTTTATTTACAACAGTTAAAAGTATCTATTCAATGGTCCATGGTAATTAGTTATATAACATTAAGAAAATAATTTATTTTAGCAGTCAAACTATAGCATTTATTTTATATTTCCAGAATGCGGATGAGCGCGCGTCGAGCTTCGAAGATTTGGCAAGACAGGATAGCAGATCCCTTGGAGACCGCTGTATACTGGGTCGAGAGGGTCATACGATGGGGGCACCAGGATCCCTTGCACTCCACCTCCAAAGATATGGGCTTCATAGAGTATAACTTATTAGATGTAGCAGCTGTGATCTTACTTAGTTTCATATTTTTAATTCTAGTTCTAAGGATAGTATTAAACCAAATTCTACGGCTTTTCGGAGCTGGTACGAGTAAGAAGGAGAAGTTGCATTAGCGCCTGACATAGTTTTAGTGCTATTATTTGGCTCGATTTCAAGTGCAATGAAACGAGTCTATCTATCTATGAAACCGACCTCGGTTTCTCAGGAAATGCAATATTTCTAAGAACTAGCTCAATGTAAAATTTATTTTATGTAGATAATTTTTTCTAACAAAGTTCCTCAGTTAAAATAAATCTATGGATGTGCCTAGGAATGTGCCTGCCTACTTAGTGTAGTTAGTTATACATAGGCATTAAGCAATCCGGTCAAAACTCATTGAGCTCAAATAAATTAGTGTCGAGTTCAATTAAAACCAGTGTTCAATTGTGAAATCATGATAGGTATTAGGTAATATTAAACTAAACCGTCAAATACGCAGCACCTAGTATGATACGAATAACCCAAATAAACTAGGTAAGGAATTTTTTATGAATAAAGATAAAGATAGAACTATTTATTTATCCTGTAGGTATGCTCACCACTATGGCAACAAATACATACCTACGTATAAAAATAAAAATCTAAAACTAAGTGTCTAAAAGAATACAAAAAATTATGTCCTCAAATCATTCGTATTAAACCTGTCATTTACAAGTGCCTAGTGTAATTAACAAAAAAAAAATAGGTATAGAAAATAAACAATCGGAACTAAAATCGATATCAAGGTATCGTTTTTAGTATATTATATTGTTACGTAAGTAGTTAAATTACAATGCAGGTACTAGATTTGGTTTTTATTTTGAGCTGTGACAGTCAGCAGGGTTTAGTGTCTAGTTTTAATAAATCAAATACCAACTAATATTCAATGTAATCGATTTATTATTTATTGCTCTAAAATAATTTCAACCGACTTCCCAAAAAGGAGGAGGTCCTCAAATTCGTATGTATACTTTTTTTGTGAAGTTTATCGTGGACCGGAAACTTCACATTTTTAATTTTTACATTTCGCCCCACACGACAAAGTTGTTGCGTGCAGTTGGGGGCAAATTTGTTAATTTTATGCTCCGAAATATTAATTAAAAAAATATATTAATTGTGTACATTTATAAAAAATATTATTTTATGGACAATAAACCATACTTTATATTATACATTTGTTTTATTTTACAAATGGATTGGAGATTTTAAAATAAAAATAAGTACAGATTTTTTAAATAATAGATATTTAATCCTTTTATAAACGCAGTTAACAGCTTCCATTAATTTTATACATTTCATTAAGATTATGGAAAATATTGTAACAGTAACATAAATAAAACAGGATTTTTATTGATGTAAGAAAAATATTTCTATTAATATTCTTTACAACGCAAATTAAGCAAAAGGCCTTATTACCCTGGACTAGTATTTGAAATGTTAATATTTCTTCTCAGTTTTAGGAATAAAATTATCGAATTAAAAATCGCCATTAAAAAAATTCAGGAATAAAAATAATATTCGTTAGTTGTAAAATAAAAACTGTATTTCAATTGCTAAATCTCTTTTGAAGTACAAGCATTCATAAATCTATGCAGACGCTAGTACCAATGAGGAGTATCGTTTTTTTACCACCAGATGGCTCTAATATAGAGCGAGGTCTGTTCGTCTAATAATTAAATAATTAGTATCAAAACCATTCAATCTTTGATAGCTTTTTTTTAAGGGGGGAAATTCATGCAATGACATCTACGGCCTGGGTGAGGCGCGAGGGAATGTCTCTTACTGACAAAAAACACCCCGTTCCTTCTCCTGCACTTCCGAGCCGGAGCCCCGGTAACCCGATTGGTAATCTTTGATAACTACGGTGATTGGACAAACAGACCTATCGCGAAATTAGCTTAGCGACATCTCGTGAGTAAAAAATCGGTTACTTCATTACTTATATCAGCCAGCTGAATTCAAAAGCAGTATTTTAAGCATTCTGAGTAAACCAGAAAACACTGCCATATATTTTAGTGCTCTCCACAAAAACACACTTCATTCTCCTATTGTGCTGTTTCAATTTGCAGTCTCTTTATCTTAATTGGTAATATTTTCACCATCTCTTGGCATAAAGAAAATTCTTCTCGCATCATTGCAGCCGCATCCTCGCAGTTCGTACAAATATCAACCACTGCTTGATAAGAATCAAAACTCTTTTGTACATTCCTCAACTGTAATACCTTGTCTACGGCTACTCTCTTCATGCTATTCCTACCTATGAATGCGAGAGCACTGATGACAGGTCTTACTAGTTCTAACGCCAATTTCACAGGCATTTGACCATCTTTATCCTTGACAGAGTTCAAGAAATGGTCAAAGTTCTCAATACTCTTTTCGCAAAGATTGTTTATTTTCTTCAATGCATGAGGTGTCGGTTTATCTGTAGTCTTGTTTAATTTCTCAAGTTTGATATTAAGTATATCTGAGTAAACTTCACCGAGTTCATACCAGAGTTGCCTGCAGTATTGTAGGTAGTATACAGGATTGATTTCTTTTAGTAAGTCTTCTAGCATGTCGATTCTTCTTTTGTACATTTTGGCGCGTCTTTCGTCGTCCTCTTCAAAGAAAGCAAGGTAGCTGTAAGACTGGGAGCTATCCTGTACCAGTTCTATATAATCGGAAGCTAAGGTATCAAGTTTGTAGTACTCCTTGGCTTTATTTAACCAAGTCTGACAGCTCAAGAAGACTTCTCTAGCATCTTGGTAAGTGAGGAGAAACTTATCTCCAACTTTGCTCTCATATTTTGAGACATCCAGATCTGTGAATATTAATTTTGTGATGTCACCTCCACAGATGTTTTCTTGGTCGTCCAATTTGAGATCAGACATATCTGTAATGTTGAGATATAATATTATTAATTAGTATTAAAGTAATGTTGATTTAGATAATGAAAGACATACCAATAAAAAGAAAGTGGTACCAATAACCAATAAAGTAACACAAAAAAATTTGGTAGAGGCCAACTAACAAGGTACCAAGACAGGATAATTATAATATTGAATAAAATACTGACAATATTAGCAATTACATATCTATAAAAGCACTAAAGAGAATATCTGAAAATGTGAATAAAGTTGTTAGGAAATTATGTAAGTAATCAGTAGAGAATAGAGAGGTATAATACCTGTCACATCTTCAGTTATTTGTTCAGAATCATTCATAAGCCTGGCTTTAGATGATGTCATGAGCAGAATGCAATATTTGGCCCAACAACGTGCCACATCAGCTGATCTATGCTTAAATGTTTCAATCTTTGCAAGAAACACCTCATCATTATTATCCGAGGAGCCCAATTTCTCTTCATACTGTTCTAGAATAGTAGACGCAGCTGCCAAGTGATGCCTGGACTGGAAGAACCCATTCTGCTCAGCAAAGAACTGTGATAAGGTGGCAGAGTTCAGTGCCCAGTCTATCGGTTCATAATCATTGTACTGTAACTGCCTTCGCAATGTCACATGACAATATATAGCGGACTTTAAGTTTTCCCTCAAAGATCCAAAGACCTGTGCCAGGTAATACAGAGTTAGTGTGTGTGCTTTCTCAAGTAACATGAAGTCTCCCATTGGACTCTCTCCTGTAGGGCTAACAATCTGTTCAATATGCAGTGGCAACTGCAGAGTACATTTAAAATTCTCATACAACTCTTTTGCATGTATCAAATATGTTTTCGCCTTTTCAGGCGCATCTCTATTTGACCACAGAATACCCAAGTTATTATAAACATTTATAAGAGTGATTATTATTTCTGGTTTCGAGGAATTTGGAGTTAGTAACTCAATTGCTTCTGATAAAACCTTTTCACTTGATGTCAGCTCTTCAGTTTCCATGTCAATGACACCAATGTTTAGTAACACAGTTCCTAACATAGCTTGGAGCTTCAAGTCATCGAAGCTAGTTGGATTATCAAGTAATTTCTTCAAACTGTCGCCCATAGAAACAAGTATTCCTTTAGCTTTGTACTTAGACATATAAGGCTCATTTTCCGGATCATTCTTGCTATCCTCGTCAAGCAGTTTTCGGATCTTACCATAGTTTTCCTTAAAATCATTGAGAATCTCCTTTTCCGACATATCTGGGCTCGCACTCATTGTTTTATTTTGACTATAAAAATAATCAATATAACCTACAAATTTGATCTTCTTAGATATTACGAATAGACTTTAAAAATATATTTTTCAATACAGTGTATCTAGTAGGCCCGTAAAAATAATTTCCGTACACCAGAAAAAATTCAATTTGATAATCTTTTCAAATTGGACAAAATATTTTTAACGTGAACAAGTGACGTTTATTACTCTGTCATGTTTATTCTATGGAAAACTAGACAGTCTTTCACAAGAGGTAAAAAATTAAAGTTTCTGAACGATATAGTACTATGCTGCCATCTGTCCGGTTTTGACGGGAATTACTAAGGAAAACTGAAATTCACTATTTTTCCTATCTTGTGTGCTACTTGCATTAGTCATTCGAATTCCCAATAAAATTAATATGCAAACTATAACTGGAACTGTATTCGACAAGATTTCCTTAAGTTTTTGTTTAAATTACTAAGGTCAGGCTTGCTACTTTAGTCTTTATCATCACAGTACCTTCGCATAGGTGCATAAAGGGCATAAGGCATGTAAATAAAGTAACAAGTTATTTGCACTGTTTATTCTTATATCAATTACCACATAATTTTATACACCACCCACTTGAAGATGGGTACATACACAAACATTCATATCATTTAGCATAATTCCCTTATTCACAAACATGTAACATAATTTTACAGCTTTATTATTTACATTGTACTGTTTAAAATGTTAAAATACAAAAATGTCCTAAGTCAGTCCATAATATTATATTAGTGTTATAAAAACAAAACATGGATTAGTTTCATGAATAAGGAAAAGATACCCTTATGTCTAATAACAACATAGTTAAGTATGTTACAAACAGTGCTTTCTACGAATGGCCTATGCCAATAATACATATATTAGGAACCAGTTGGAGGTTCCGGATCCTCCATGGACAGGGCCCGTGGAGGTGGTGTGTGGGTGTTTAGCTGGGAAAACACCTCATTTTCACCTAAAGCCAAGGGGTCAGGCTGTGTGGCTGGAGAGGGACCAAATTCCATCATTGGAGACGGAGAGACTGGCCTCACTACACCAGCACCTGAAGCTCCTGTTCTTCCAAAAATCTGTCCATGTAGTCTGTGTGTCCAGGGTGTAAAGTATACTTTTTCTTCTCCAATCGAGCTTTATTAGCAAATATATCATGTCGTTCTGTCTTTTTCCAAATATAATAAAATTGTACCAGTTCTCCAACTGACCGTGTCCGCACTTTATACTGTCTGATCAAATGGAAGTCCTTGCCATGGGCTTTAAGGCCATTTTCGAAGTTGCGACATTCTTCTTCTGACCAAAGACTTGCATGAGCAGGAGTTTGGGCTGAAATGCGCCGCCGCCTCAATGCTTCCTCTACGTTGTGACCACACTGTTGCAGTAGATATAGGGCTTCCTCATCATCTCGTAGTTGTCTCCCTCGAGGGACGGCATCTACACCTGTCCCAGAGTTCATTGCACAGATTTTCTTCATATAGTCCTCTGTAACTTTTTCTTCTAACATGCTTGGGTTCCACAACAACTTGTCCTCATTTTCATAAGGTAATGCGTCATCATAGCTGCATAAACCTTCAGGTATTGCAGCCTGGTAGTCACTACCTACCATTATAGTCTTCTTCCAGTCATCCTCATCGGGACTGTAATCATAGTCATCTTCTTCTTCAGAAGGCGGTCTTGAGCCAGACCTAAGGCATCTTGTGGCTTCCGGACTAGTAGTCTCACTGTATAACTGCTGTAACGCTGACTCTGGTTTCTCAATTTCCTCAGGGACCACCTCAGGGGCCTGCTCGGGAGTGGGTTGCTTGTTATCCATAGTTTTATCGTATCCGTACAGTGCTAGTAATTCTTCCAATGGCATATCACCTTCACGCTGAAGGCTGTTAAGTTCGGCTTTAGGGTCTTGTTGCTCTCCTGCCGCCAAAGCTTCTTCTTCGTCTAATGTTCTTTCGTCATCAAAGTCATTTACCATCATTTCAACAGAGGGCTCAAATAGAGACTTGTCGTTCCCCACGTCCATACTCGCATCGTGTTCGCTTACATTGGACACCAGCGCGCAATCTGACATGACTACCACGGTACCACACTATGGATATTGTATCACCAAAACATGATAAGCATTCAGTGTTATTATAAGTAATTTACGTAATTTAATATTAAAATAAATAGAAAACATTACAATTATGACATATTATGCGATTATATGTGAATTAAATGAAGAACAAAACAAAAATATTTTGACACGACAACCATAGGTTTCGTGAATGCACTTTAAGATCTGTCATTTGTCAATGTCAAATTTTTTTTAGTTGATATTGAAGCCTAGTCTTTTACTAACTTATCAAAAAATTCTACACTTAAATTAAAACAATTAACAGTACATATAAACCTAAACTTAATAATACCTTTAGATAAGTAGGTTTATTCATCCATTAGAAATACTTGTTAGAGAACATTCGTTTAGTTTTAGTTTTGACAGAAAATTAACATATTAGACTACGAGATTTGAGCAGTAAAAACAGTATGCAAAACTGTACTTTATTTTGCTAAGTATTCAATTATTTATTTATCGTATTTATATGTCGTATACAAGACCTTTTCCCCAATTTGCCATTAAATCTTCAATCATTCAGTCTGTAAATCAGAAAAGTAAACCCATATTATGTATTCGTTACTATAAAAATGAATACTCGTTACTATCGTATCGTTACATTACTCAGTACTTTTGATAAATCAATATAATCCAACACCCCGAATCGAGTCGTATGTTGTATCGTGTTGTATGCGTGTAGAACTGCAAATGAACTATAGATGGAATCTCCTAAAACATACAAAAACTGGTCATACGTGTAAAAATTATATCATATATAATAATATAACACATCAAGGACGAAAAATTATATATTTTAAACAAAAAAAAATCCAATCCATACTAAGAATATCGTACAGACATACTAATCCATACTATAACCAAGGTCGTTGAAAAAAAGGCGGAAGTAGGTTCTTGAAACAACAACGACTGTGGCACCTGGGTTTACTGGCTGACTGACTGCTGAATACACACACTGATACGAAGGACAACTGTCGCCAAACAAAATGCGAGCGCCGAAATTGTGCGAGTAACGTTATAGTACTTTCGAGAGTAACGTTTCGTTTCGTTACTCGGTATTCGAAAGCGCATCCGTAACTCAGTCCAATGTTCGTTCTTTCCTTCGTTTCGTCACGTCATTCAATGCAATGTCAAACAAATGTCTGTCAAGTGAATGCGTTTCTTTTTCGATTAATTGTTATTTGTAATTTAAACCAAATTAAAATGTTGTTTGGTGGCTTTATAATATTTATAAAATAATTTGTGATTACTCCGCCTGAAACAATGACGATGTTGCGGATCCTATGTATATTTTTTGTAGCAATCGTCAAAGTAACGCACGGCTTTTCGGACATTGGAAAATGGGATTTGCCGCTGAATGGGGTGAGGATTATGTTATATTTCATGCTGTGAAAGTTCGCTATGTAATACAATATTGCTATTATCTCCCAATTAGAAGCACATTTTAACCAACCCACAGTTGTTTATAGTCTTACAAAAAATCTTTAAGTTGATATTAATTCTGAGTCATATTTCTAATTTGTTTACTGAAAATGTATTTAAAAAAAATACTTAACCTTTATTAATATTGTAGATAGTATTTTGTAAAAATATACGATCCCATGTTACATAAGGAAAAAAGATCCAATAAGAGGAAATATCATGATTCCATTGGTTGTTGCTATGTTACCTGCATATTGTAATGACTACTAAAAGTATAAGTTTTATTGAATAATATAATACGTCATTAATAATTCATAGTGTTAGCAATATTTTTCAACATTGCAAAGGTATTATTTTCATTCTGCCAATTAAAGTTAGCTTTCATCAAGCAAGCATCAATGTATGTATGACATTTTCATATTATTTTTCAGGACAATTGTGTGTTTACACTAGCTAAGTCACTATTTAAGGATTCTCAGCTTATTATAATGTGTAAGTATTATCTATTTATTAGCCTAAATCTATTAGCAAGTAGTATAATATTAAATATAGTAATGCTTATTGCTAAAATTCATTGAATCTGTTGTTTTAATTATGCAAAATATTTTTTTTTACATGTTAGTGTCAACACTGTGTGTTTACTAAATGTAATTCACATCCTTGCAACAGTAAGTAGATGCTCTTTAGTCTAGACTTTTAAAAGGCCATTAAATTAGCATATCATATATATTATTAATTTATCACCTGTTCTAGTTTGGTTCAGGTTTTCTATTAACTGGATAAAAAATTATATTACTAGATTCCAATATGATTCGAACTAGACATTGATATTTCTTATTGAGTATATGTCGGAATGAGTTTATTTCTTAATGGAAACTTTATATTTCTCGCTAAGTATTACACTTATACTAGTTAAACTCAGTTGTTAAAGTTAAAATTTTCATGTTTATAATGACATTAGCTACTTCTGGGCGGTTTCACACGCTCTGCTCAGCTCCTATTGGTGTGTAGCGTGATGTTTTATCGCCTGTAACCATCCTCGATAAATGTGCTATCCAACACAAAAAGAATTATTCGTGCAAAAAGGCCAGTAATATAGTAATCAAATTGGAAGTGAAATACTAATAAAAATATTACACAGTTCTTGTATACTAAGTTTATCTCCAAAAATCGTGGAAATAACTTTATATGAATCATTGTTTATCATATACCTACTTATTAATAACTTGTTAACAGAATAGGCACAGACACGTTTATTATTAGGAATGTGATGTTCAGGTCTAGATATATTTATATTAAACTTTTATAAAGACCGGACTTCTAGAACAATGTAGTAGGTATACAGGGTGGAATTTTGTAATGCCACCTGAAGGGGAAGTAGTCTTAATACTTTAGATAGAAAATTATACTCAAAGAAAACATTCTTTTTGTTTTGAAAACTGCATTCAAAGATTTTTAGAAATTCACTTGCCGCACACGGTATTTAAACCAACTAAAATCTGTAAAAGATGCACCTTGTACTTTTATTGCATTGATTGATAGGAAACACGAAAATAAAGGAATGTTTTCTTTGAAGTAGTAATAAAGTATCAAGAGTACTTCCCCTTCAAGTGGTATTACAAAATTCCACTATGTATATAGGCTTGTTTAACATTCTGTTTGAATACAACTTAACTGATGAAGAGTTAATATATTATTTAGTTTATATCAGCTCCATAGCAGTGTCATTTGCTGTTCGGGTCTCATTGATAGTAGCATGATTTCTAGAGCCATGTTCGATCAATAAGTGGGACTATTAAAACATAAAACTATTCTTACATCAAAGCTTACAAAACAAGATTAGTGCGTTAAACCTAACAGACGAATAAGTTCTTAAACTTTAAAATAGTTATTATTAGCGACCCGCCCCGGCTTCGCACGGCTGCAATATGCATGTATTATACATATAAACCTTCCTTAAGAATCACTCTATCTATTAAAAAAAACCGCATCAAAATCCGTAGCTTAGTTTTAAAGATCTAAGCATACACAGGGACAGACATACGGCGGATAGCGACTTTGTTTCATACTATGTAGTGATAGTGATTTGTACGCGTACACATCTCTAATTTCCAAGATACTCGTAAATTGCTGAAACTTGATTAGTCTCAATCTCAACCTGAGGTTTGAAGATGGCCAAAGAAGAAACAAGAATTAGTTACATACTTAGCCCCCTAAGTGTAGGAGCGAAGAATTAACTAATTAATGGTAGCTGTAACATAAATGAATGAAAAATCTGGAAATCTGCCTTCATAAACCAGAGAATCAAAGAAACTATAAATTGCCCAAAATCAGTCAACATTGACGACTGGTCGTTAACACTAATTGTCTATTAGGTTAAACTATTAAACCAATACGATAATAGTTCAGTTTTAATTGAATACTATGCAGTACTTGTTATAGAGTATCTTATCGCCGGACATAGGCGAGTTATCTGATGCTTTTAAGATAGCGTTTGTGGATCGAGTTATCAACACCTCTCTCTAACGTATGACATGGATACTGAATCATACTGAAATATTCGCCTTGTATTGTTTTCTACGCCTTAAAATCAGTTTAGAGGATTATTTATTTATTTATTTATGTATTGGTAAACCAACAGCTATACATGGCAAACGTATAGTGGCAAAATAACATCAGATAGACAATTGCAGGTTTTCACGGATAGATATTACATTATTTAATCAGTAAAAAACACTCACAGTCCAAACATATACATAATTTAGAAAAAAAAACCAAACAACAAAAAAGAAAATAACAAAACAACAAGACCATATAGGTACCAACTAATCACTACATAGTATTAAACAAGTCGCTATCCGCCGTCTTTCTGTCCGTATGTATGCTTAGATCTTTAAAACTACGCATTTTGATACGATTTTTTTTATTAGATAGAGTGATTCTTAAGGAAGGTTTATATGTATAATACATGCATATTGCACCAGTGCGATGCCGGGGCGGGTCCCTAGTTAAAAAATAAACACATACCAACCATACTACCAACAATAATAGATTAATAATCAACTAAGTTACCTACTCAATTTACTAATGAAATAAAAACTGTAGGCTAAGCATCCTTTGCACAGCAGAAGTCATTGTTACAAACGGATCTATTGGATACTGTTTACACAGGTTTTTTAAGTCTACTACGACATACATAGCCGTGGTTATACAAGTACACGAGTCGCGGAGAACCTAACGAGTTACCGGGGTTCCAGCTCGACGTGCAGGAGAAGAAACGTGGTGGTTTTTAGTCAGTAAGAGTCTGACACTCCCTCCCGCCTCACCCAGGCCGGAGCAGTAATTCGATGATTTCCCCCCTTAAAAAAATACAAGTACACGTACTTACTTAATAATAATTACCAATAAAAACATGTTTGTATTATATTGGAATGGCCTTGTACAGTTGTCAAAATGGAATTTAGTAAAATGTAGGTGAGATTAAGCTTGCGTGTGCGTATTCCACCTTATTTAGCTAATAAGCTAATTTGAAATGCATCTAGTTATAGCAAGAATTAAAAAGTTTATTGGAACATCTATGTTCTTTGTATTAAACAACAACAAACCATAAACAAAGCACACAGCGCAATGACCTCATTACTGACCTTGGAGTTTTAACTTAAAAAAATTTCAAATATGGAACTGTAAAGGTTATTGTTTGTTGATGCCAAGTGGCGTATTAAGACATCTTAGAGCCAGAGTGGTTCCGCTGAGGGAACGAGATCTCGCTAGACGACTTGTATAGCTCTGTTTCTTTCCCTCAATGGAACCATTTTGACTTTAGGACGTCATGATAACCCCGCAGGACAGTTTACTGCTAGATTAGTCATTGATGCTAGTGCAAGAGGCAGGACAGTTCACTGCTAGATTAGTCATTGATGCTAGTGCAAGAGCCAGGACAGGTCACTGCTAGACTATGTCCACTCATGTCTCCTCTACATAAGAGGAGTTTGTCATAATCTAGACAGCTAATTGCTTGGCAGGCAGGTTGGAGGCCGCATTATAAAGTTTCCAAGTTTAACGCTAATGCTTCTATTAGATGTGGAGTGTAATCCCTTAGTTTGCTCTCTGACTATCCTCTTGCGAGTCGCGGAGAACCTAACGGGTTACCGGGGCTCCGGCTCGACGTGCAGGAGAAGGAACGGGGTGGTTTTTAGTCAGTGAGAGTCTGACACTCCCTCCCGCCTCACTCAGGCGGGAGCAGTCATTCGATAATTTTCCCCCCTTAAAAAAACCCCTTGCGAAGAATACGTAATATTGGGGACAACTCATCATAAAAGACGTATTATTTCAAAGTAAAAACCTACGTATTGTTTAAGTTTTCTATGCTAAAGTAGATTCTATGTCAATGTTATAAGAGTTAAAAATAAGTTACGTTTTGTTTCAGTTAAATGCGACGTAGTGAATGCGACTGATGTGAATATCAACTACCAGTGGGCGAAAACTAAATGTTCTCCGGATTATTTGCATTATTTTGAACAGGTAATAAACTTTATTTACACTTGTTATCACTTGCCAGACTATCAATGAAGTGCCACAAAAAAAATTAAGAAAAGAAAAAGTCTATGAATATCAATCCGCCTTCTTTTTGAAGGCGAATAAAATAAATGCTCTACTCTATTGTCAAAACAAAGGACATTTAATCAGAAAAATAATTTGATCTGATAGTGTGATATGAACTTCTTGCTATAAAATTAATATGAAGTTATTAACACGCCTTCATTTTCATTTTCATATTAATTTACCTTCAACAGTTCTATCGGTAGTCAAAGGCTCATGCCTTGTTTACACTACGCTAGTAATTTAGTCGAGTAGCGAGTATTTAGTAGTTCCGTTTCTTGCCCGTCCTGAAATCAAAGCGAGAGAGAACTACTAAATACTCGCTACTCGACCAAATTACTAGCGTAGTGCGAACAAGGCATTAAAGTAGATATTGTTAATAAATGCAGTACTTTAATACTCCTACAGCGCATTATATACATATTTATAAGTAATGATTAATCGAAACTTTTGGCCTTGCGGTAACTAGGATAAAATATCCTCGCACTCAGTCCTTATCATTAGTACCTACATGAATTACTAGTATACACGGCCACACATCAATAGCTATACAAAACCAGTTTATCCTGATATCGCGTCTCATCATCTTTCCGCACATTTAACGTTCAGATTATACCGGTTATGCAAAGCTTGATGTGTAGCCGTGTGTATAGACTGAAATAGAGATAGATAGATATTTATTTGATATAGATTTGACTACAAGAATCATGTTATTAAGGATTTAGAATTTTAAACCTTATTGCCTAAGTCTAAAGTTAATTTTTGCTTGATATGACAATTTAGGAATTTAAACTTGGTTGGTAATCATTTTTGATCTACATGACAAATTAGTTGATCGTGTTTAAATTTTATCAGTCAATTACCTACTAAATGAATAAAGTTGACGTCAATTTTGCCGCGATACAAGGTCCTGCTTGCACCCCAGACCCCCCCCCCCTACCGAAAATAATTTGGTAAGAATTCTTTTTCCTAAGAAACTGATACTTATTTTACCCCGGATTGGATGATTTTAACCCTTAAAAAAAGTATTCTTTCCCAACTCAGGTAACGACAATCACAGTATCTCTATAGCTTCCTCAAGAACTGTAAAATAGCCCGTAAACGTATCTGTAAAGTAAGAAATCTGGGCAAAGTTGTAAGGTTTTACGGTACCAATAAAGAAATCAATTTATTTTTATTTCAGAGTGTAATTATTATTCTAATTTTTTTTTTCTTTTCAGCAAGTAGTGTCTTGCACAAATAGAGTGGAACGGTTCGCCGTTGACCTAAACGGCACCGGTACTATACAAGTACTGAAAGATGAAAAAACAAAGATCTCATGCCAGCATCCGAATCAGATCATATTCTTGGAGCCGGCGCAGCCTGCAGAAACGAAGAAAGATGGGGTGCCTACTGTGTCAGTGAGTACATTTTGGCATTTTGGAATACATCTTTTGTTTATTTTCTTTTTTATAAATTTTCGTGTAAAGCTGAAGAGTATGAGAATAAGAGAATACTAATATTATAAAGCTGAAGAGTTTGTTTGTTTGTTTGAACGCGCTAATGTTCGTAACTACAAGTCTGATTTGAATAATTATTTTTGTATCGGATAGCGCATTTATCGAGGATGGATATAGGCTATAAAACATCAAGCTACGACCAATAGGAGCTGAGCAGGGCATGTGAAACCGCGCGGAAGTAGCTAGTTCTTTAATAAACGACAGTTAAAAAAACCGACTTCAACTTTGTCCTAAGTCTAACAGTTTTCTAGTCGATCCCGACAAATGAGGTTTAGAGAAAGAAACGTATATGTTACACTTAGGAGAATGTTTCCGTATATTAATTATTAATAATTAACAGACATAAAAAAGAAGGAGTTGAATTCACCCAGCTTCACTGACGGACTGGCTGACAGACTATTATTTATTTTGTATTTGTTGACTTTTCAAAAGTACCAAAATATGGTTTAATTGACATAAATGCTTTGACTTTGACTTTGAAGTCGGATTTTTTAAAAGTTATAAAAGAATTAATTACATACTTGATACTATTATTAATGCGATATTGCAAAACTGACTCATAAATCTCTCTTCGTAGAAATCAGCGCGACACACACTGTTGACTGTAGAATCAGAAGGTATTTACGTGCTGAAGATGACGGTCTCATCAAACAAACAGTTCAAGGCCACAGCCAGTATAGAAATGGCGGCGCCTTCTGGGTACCTCTCTGCTGCCATCTGGCCGCTATTACCGGTAAGTTTTTACATGCATGTGTGGAGAGGTGTACATTACGGCACTTAATGCCACTGTACGATGCAACACCCACTTTTCACTATTTATGTTATGAGTCCCATTTTTTTTTGAGGATGAGGGTTTTGGCCATTTACCGGGCACAATTCCAGACTCCGTGCTACTTTGCCCGACCCGGGAAACGGATCCGATACTCCTTGCCCGGCAGTCGCACTTGTAACCACTCGGCCAAAGCGTACGGCGCGTCGCGTTCCGCGCGCGCCTCAAAGAGCCATCAGACCACCACAGATGGGGCCCAATAGGGCCGATGCCGATTCGGAGTCGCGGAGAACCTAACGGGTAACCGGGGCTCCGGCTCAACGTGCAGGAGAAGGAACGGGGTGGTTTTTAGTCAGTAAGAGTCTGACACTCCCTTCCGCCTCACTCAGGCGGGAGCAGTCATTCCACGATATTCCCCCTTAAAAAAAACTTTAACGTACTAATATGCATAATTATAATTATTGTTCTCTGTGTTAAATTTGTGTACATAAATAAATAAATATGTGTTTTTAGTTCTTCGGCGTGATGTGTGGCGTGTACATCGTGTTGTGCTTCGGTTGGCTGGTGGTCTGCTCGCTGCAGTGGCGCGACCTGCTCCGCATCCAGTACTGGATCGGGGGCGTCGCTCTACTCGGACTCATCGAGAGCTCCACGTACTACGCTGTGTATTCTGCTATTAATAGCTCTGGGTGAGTACATAATACGTTTTTATGGCATAAGCCGGTAAACGAGCAGACGGATCACTTGATGGTAAGAAATCGGCGTCGCCCATGGACACCTGGAACACCAGAGGCGTTAAAAGTGCGTTACCGGCCTTTTGGGGATTAGGAGTTTGAGAATCGTTGGGAATTCAGGAATTGGGGAGATTGGGGAAGGGGAGGGTAATTGGGCTTCCGGTAACCTCACTCACACGACGAAACACAACGCAAGCGTTGCTTCACGTCGGTTTTCTGTGAGGCCGTGGTATCACTTCGGTTGAGCCGGCCCATTCCTGCCGAAGCATGGCTCTCCCACATTTAAGAAATTAACTTATTTCTAAGAAATCAAAAAATAATTTATTTGCCAAAAATGTAGGTAACAAATATGTTGGTATGGAGATTCCCAGTACATTTTTCCTTACGGCATGCTAAATTATTGAATTAAATTAACTAAAATCGCGAGTTACTCACGTGAATATTACGTTAATTTAGTATGTCTCACGATAATTATTATAAAAAATATGATTTACCTTTATATTACAGTAACTTCAACACAGAAGTGTACATGTTTGCTGAATGGCTGTCAGTCGCCAAGCGGGCGCTAGCGAGGATGTTGGTCATCATCGTCTCCTTAGGATTTGGTATTGTCAAGTAAGTCATCTAATCTATTGATATTTTGATACAAATTTCAGTGGAGATAATGAAATGTGGGTGTTACATTGTAAGGTGGCACCTCTGTCTACCACTTCAGGGATAAAAGGCGTGATGTTATGTTATATGTTTCAGTGGAGATGTGTATTTAAATACATTATTCAGCAACACAGAGTTTTACAGTGACTCAAATAAAAAGCAATTTGATATCTAGAGCACACTAATGCCACTATAACAACTATATCTACAAAATATTTCTGTGATTTTGATTTAAATTACTAATATTTTTCGTACCAACAGACACTAATGCGGCATAAGTTTCTTTAAACAATGAAATAACTTTAAACAGTTCCAACTCGAACAAGACTTAATGCGTCAGTAGCGCCATCTACAAACCGAAAAAACGCCTTATTCCTATTCAATTATTATTTTGTTCTCCAGGCCTCGCCTAGGCCCTGCCCTACAGCGAGTGGTAGGTACAGGAGTACTATGGGGCATCCTGGGCGGTATCAACGCGTGGCTCCGTCTGCACCACAAGGCCAACGACTCCAACCGAGACCTGTTGCTGTCCGAAGTGCCGCTGTCTTTGTTGGACAGCGCCATCTGTTGGTGGGTGTTCGTGTCACTTGCACATACGATGAGGACTCTGCAGTTACGGAGGTGGGTTTTAATTGACCTTAATTACTAATAATGTATCTCTTTTTGACTAACTAATAAAAGTTTTATAGAATACTAGCTTTTACCCGCGGCTTCGCTCGCGTCACAAAAGGATAAAAAGTAGCCTATGTGACATATACCAATACACACAGCGTCACTAATAATTTCGTTTTCCCTCGAGAATATCAAATTTTTCCGGGATAAAAAGTACCCTATTATTTAATCCAGACTTCTAACTTCACGTCTTCAAAAATTCAAAGCAATCGGTTTAGTAGTTACGGCGCGAAAGTGGAACAAACAAACAAACAGACTCACTTTCCGAATTATAATATTAGTAAGGATCTATCATCCGTTCATATTTTGAATTCCGAAAGGATAGAGCCGAACATTTTTCAATGCAATACCTATGTTTTATCAGTTATGTGTCCTATGTAGGAAATGAGCCCAATTGCTATACATAGGGCACAGTTCCATCCTCTTAACTATCTCCAGATATATTATAAAATCTCCGATGCGACGTGTAAGAATAACAACGTTTATTTGCACGAAGAATGGTAATTACAGGTAGCAATAATTATACAAAATGGTCCCACATACATCGCCTACTGTTTTCGGCATGCAAAGTTAAATGTTACTAATAATAAAGTAAAAATGTTACTCTTACTACAGGAACTAAGATAAACAAACTGTCGCAATAGTTATAAGTATTAATGAGGATAATAATTTTGTGGTATTGGTATTGTAACTTTCGTGAGACATACTAAATAAATTATTATTGTCGCGGGTCGCGAAATGCTGCTCATGAATATGAGCCTCTAGCATGGTTTGAAACTAGTCGAGTTCCTCGTCGAATTACTACGTGAGTAAGCCGAAAAAATAATAATTTATTATGTGGTATTGTTTCAGAAACAACATAAAGTTGTCGCTGTACAGACATTTCACGAACACGCTGATATTCGCGGTGATATCATCCGTCGTGTTCATGTTGTACTCTATCAAGTCGTACCGAGTGCTTCCCTGTATTACTGTAAGTGGAATTTTACTTATTTTGAACGCTATATTTTCTTTCATGTGATGGGGGGGGGGGTAATGAGCAGATAGATCATCCGATGGTAGTGGGGCGTACCGTATTTTTGTTGGCGCTAGTGTGAACCTCTCGTTCTTCAACCAATATTTAATTAAGTAGCTAGTCTTATGTTTTTTGCGTTTTAAAAAAACGTGTGTCGTAGGTACATTCATAAACATACAAGTCCACATACACATGACACCCAGACCCGGAACAACAATCTGTGGATCACACAAAGAGTTGTCGGCAGGTAGTTGCCCAGCCACCGCATCAACCGTGCAGTCAAACAAAAAACCATTGGAAGTTCTTTTTGACAGTTGCTGTCTTTGGATTTAGACTACTTTTGCGCCTTCTAGTGGGTAAAAAATACGTTAGCCCCCATTGGCGCCACTCATGTCAACCGCAACACCAGAGGAATTAGTAATGCGTTACCAGCCCTTTCGTGGTTAGGGATTTAGGATAGGGAGATCGGTGACTTAGGCCTCAGTCACACGGCAAAATATGACGCTACGTAGTTTCACGTCGGTTTTCTGTGAGGTGGGCTTCACTCCCAGTTGGCCGGCTCATTCGTAGTGAAGCTCTTCCACAGTTACAGTGAATGATGATGAAATTTTCAAAAGTTCAGGCAGTCTACTGTTTAAAAGTTCAGGTTTATGACAAAGTGCTGTGGGTGAGACCATAGAAAAATTATAGAATAACTGTTGCGGTTTGCCTGTGACTTCGTCCGCGTAGAATATGAATTATAGGACATAACCTTTTTTATGATTCAATTTTCAAAAAAAAAATAGCCTATGATACTCTTTAGTACCTACATAAGCTACCTGCTAATAAAAGTCCCGTTAAAATCGGCACATCTATTAGCCAGTACAAACAAACACACAAACAGACAGACAAAAATTAAAAAAAACACTTATTTTGGTATTAATCGTATGTATATTCATTTGCATGTAGTAAAATGTGGTTGTCTCAATAATACAAACAGACACTTCAATTTTATTTATCTGTATAGACGATCAATGACGAATAAAACTTGTTTTTTTTTATGAGAAAAGCCGGTAAACGGGCAGCCGGATCACCTGGTGGTAAGCAATCAGCGTCGCCCATGGACACCCGAAACACCAGAGGCGTTACAAGTGCGTTACCGACCTTTTGGAGAATTAGGAATTTGAGGATTGTGGGGGATTCGGGCATTGGGGAGACTAGGGAAGGGCCTCACTCACACGACGAAACACAACGTAAGCGTTGCTTCACGTCGGTTTTCTGTGAGGCCGTGGTATCACTCCGGTCGAGCCGGCCCATTCGTGCCGAAGCATGGCTCTCCCACACTTAAGTAACGTTAATGATGACGTATTTTCTCTGCCAGGAATGGAAAGAAGTATGGATGGACGAGGCGTACTGGCACATGTTGTTTGCTAGCGTGCTGACCGTCATCATGATCCTGTGGCGACCCACCAACAACAATCAACGATACGCATTCACGCCACTACTTGATAACGCTGACGATGACGAAGGTATGAAGATTTAAAACATATATTTTCCTAATTCTATTGGTGGAGAATGCCCATGTTAAAGTTCACCTATCATCAACAGCCTATAAATGCCCACTGCTGAGCAAAGCCTCTTCTCACACGGAAAAGGTTTGAGCATTAATCACTACGCTTGCTCATTGTGGGTTGGTGATTTCAAAGTTATAATTAGAAATTATAAGCCCAGATTTCCTTACAATGTTTTCCTTCACTGTTTGTCAGTGGTGTCTAGATATCTTAGAAAGTACATATAATTTGGAAAAGGTCACATTGATAGGTTTTGAATCCGCGCCCTCATGCATGAGAAGCGGGCGTCTTAACCTCCACGACTTTCACTATATTGCTCTAATTGCAAACTTGAGCATGTTTTCAATAAATGCATATGGATGTTTATGTAACACCCACTATCTTTAGTTACTGTTATAAACAAAAACATAAACATAACATCACGCCTTTTATCCCCGAAGGGGTAGACAGAGGTGCACATTATGCCACTGTACAATGTAAAACCCACTTTTCATTATTTAAGTTATGAGTCCCATGTAATAGGGGTGAGCCTATTGCCATATACCGGGCACAAGACTCCGTGCTACTACTGAGAATTTTAAAAAAACCCAGTAATACTTTGCCTGACCCGGCAGTCGAGGCAGTCTTAGTAATATAACTATAAAAAATATGACTCCTATTTCATTCTTATCTAACAAAGTAAATATTCTCTTACAGAAGAAGAAGAACAGTTTGTAAACGACGCGTATGGCGTAAAAATGCGCGGCACGAACTCAACGACCGACACAGCTGAGGCGAGGGACGCGCAGGAACAAAACAACTCGTTAGACTCCGACCTACGCTGGGTGGAAGAAAACATTCCTACGAGCACGCTGCCACTACTCGACTCCGACGAAGAAATCATTAATACAAAGTTTGAAGTGTCTAAAATGCAGTAATTACTTAAGTCAAGTGTGTATAAAGTATTATGTAACTGTGATATGTGTTTTTGTTGCTCTTACTTAATTTAAATACCCATGCTGTTAGCTCAGACGCTCAGTGAGTTTACGTTTATCCGATCGAAACGTTACAGCGTTCAGCCCGCTGATTGGCTGTTTAACTTGCAGCTGGCCAATCAGCACCGAATAGCATAAACGTGCGAATTGTATAAAGTAAAACAAACTCGATATTGCCAAACATGGTTTCAATGGTTTGTCTTGGTTGTAACGACTTCCTAAATATATCTAACGTTTCAATAAACAATAGTGATGAGTAAAGTTATTAGTTAGTTTGGACCAACCATAAACGGGAAAAATCTTATTGTAAGTTAATAACAGGAAAAATATATTTTAATTTTTTTGTACAAAAAATAGCCGTTGACATTGTAACCAAGATTCATCTCCATAACATGTTTGGTATAGTGTTGTACCTAATAGTAGGTAAAGAAGGCAATGCTGTCAGTAAAATAAATTACTCTATTGGGACAAGAAAATCGCAACAGAACATATCATTTTTTTATTAATAAAATATGTAAATTGCTCTAAAAATGAATTTAAACTAAATTCCTACTATTTTTCATTAAGATTTCACTTGGTTGTACGAATGGTCGCGCAACCAACAGTATGTATAATTACTTAATTAGTTGTATGCAGGGTTGCGCAATCAAATCAACCTTTGTTTTGATAACTCTCGTATTTAGTAGATATAGAAAACACGGTTCGACTGATCGTCTGACCAGTGTCCTGACGATTACGATTATATTTTCCAAATTATGATTTTTATTCCAATTAGGGATATCTTTTTGTAGCCAAACTATTCCATGTATTAAAGATGATTAAATTTTAAGATGGGCTACCTCAAAAATGCATGAGAAAAATCAAATTATTAAGCTTTAGATGTAAGTTAATTTCTCAATAACAATAAAAAACAAAGTAATAGCTTTAAAACTTTTATTTATACATACACATTTAAATATATTTGTTCTTTAGACATGATCTTTGGTATATAAAATATAATATTGGTAAATGGCCACAATACATTAGGTTAAAATGGAAGTTAATAGAATTCAGTCGATACAGCATAAATGGAAAGTCAGTAATACATTTTAACAATAATTTAATATTTAAAATATAAGAAACTATCGTCTATAATTAAAATACTTTGTGCTCTCTTACAAATGTAATGGAAAACATTTTATGATAATCATTGTGGGAAGATAGATTTGTCTTTTTATTCTTTTATCACTTTAGTTTTGTTGAGTTATTTATTCAACTATAGTTGGTTTTATACGAAACTGAAAATTAAAATAAACTTGATATTGTCGTAAAATTGCACAATGTTGTATTTCTTTATATCCTGCAGCGTCGTAAGCTACACTGCTATGTAAAATATACCTATTTACATATTTAAATGATATTCACACATTCATATTTCGTTCCTTACACAGGTAGGTAGAACTATTAGTAACTCAACAATCCCGTATATGAATCTCATTAATATTCAGATGGCGACGTCGTGTCGGCCCGCGGAAGTACGTATCCACCGTGATGCACCTATACAAAATAACGATTCCTAATTTGGTATCTTATTCGATAAACTTATAATGGATACTTTTTTACTTATAAGAATGTAACATATTGGAAGAAAGCAATTTTTCATTCGGATACATTCTCGTAAAGTCTAATATCGCTCTTAATAATAATAATAATTTTCGCTACATAATTATATTTATGATACTGCCAAATGGTATCTTCACAACTCACAATTATTCGTCGCATAAAATATTCGCATAACGCCTTCACCTCTTTCATCAACAATATGGAAGCTTGTTTACAAATAAAATAGAGTTCAATTTAGTTATTATCATAATAAAAGTCGTAATCTTCTGGTTCATCTGGTATTTGTGGCGGGTCTTTAGGTATGTCAATACCTTCCGCATCAAGTAATCTAACCTTTATATCCATGGACAACAAAGTTTCCAAATCATTTTCAAATGATTTACTTGACATCTTTTCTTTTAGCAGGGCATTTATGCCATCGGTCCAGTAGTCAAATATCTGCTCATCAGGTGCAACGAAGTCCAAGGAAGTAACTTCAGCAGATTTGATGATCAATGAGAATGCTAAATGTGGTGTTATCTTTCTTCCCCTCAAATCCTTCATATGGGGACAGTCTTTGCCTGTGATCACACATTTTATATCAGTGACAGGCAACTTGTTTCCAAGCTCCTCTAAACTTGGAGTACTCTTTTCATCACAGTCCCCATAGTGCAATACTTTATGATTTGGTGAGAGACGAACAAACCAGAATTTGTCTTTGATCCTCTGACCTCTGGCAGAATATTTCTTGAACCTTGTACCCCCTACTAGAACTCCTAACCTTTGTTGTTGAATGAGATCAATGATTTCAGGAGTTATTTTCTCCTTGAGTTCAACTATGGGCCTTGCATGGGACTCCCATACCTCCCTGTTATTTCTCTCTTGTTGCCATAACTGTGTTATTTCTGTGTATGTCAGTTGGTTTATCTTCTGTCTGAACTTGTCAAAGCCTTTGGGGGAAGAGGACAGTGCCCTGCTAATCTGTTCCCGAACCACACTTGATACTTTGATAAAGTCTTCCGCAGTAGCTCTCATTTCTTTCCATGTCTTATTCAATAATACTATGCAAATACAAAATAATTCTTCAAAAGGTCTGTCATGAGTGAAGAACAGTGGATGGTATGTCTGGCCCTGTTCACTGGGAGGATCTCCAACCTTTAAAATGTCACACAGTAGCTTCACCAACTCCACACTTGTCTTGCCAAATGGACATTCATGTTCATCAGCCCTACAACTGTTTTCTAATACAATTTTTGTATAATCCTCCGAGTAGTTCCTAGCAAAGTACAACATACAGTCCAAGGCTAGGACACCCGGTGGAACTTCATTGAAGTCTTTAATTGGATCAATCTCACACTTGAATCCAAGTTTCTTGAAGTCTTTTGAGTATGTACCTGGACGTCTCATAGTAACCTCAATGTTTGGATTATTATCATTTTCAAATGCAACTTTTCTAAGTTCTTTTATTTTTCCTGTGACTCTTGTTCTTGGGCATCAGCCCTTTGTCTCATTTTAGGTTCCAACAAGCCAAGCATTAAGGTTTGCAGTACATACAGTTGGTGAGCCAACTCAGTGCCTAATCCCTGTTCAGCATTCTTGGAAAATTCACTTGCACCAATGAGGTTTTCATATATTACAGATCTTACTTGCTTGGAAGACAATGTAGCGGCAATGGTTTTTCTCTTTGTCATATCAGCTTTAGAAAATATGGCATTAATGAGTGCTATAGCATTCTGTTGGATAATACTGTCTTGGTGAGTATTCTGTAGGTGTGAGATCAGACTTGGAATAGTAATCTCCTTCTCTACATGAGAATTCTTTGAACTATTAAGTACAATGTTCTCAAGAATTGACAAACAACACTGAATAACCTTAGGATCCTGAGTACTTGCCTGGTTGCTTACAAAGCTGGCCACTTTATTTATAAATTGATTCTCAAGTATGTCCCAAAATATGATTCCATGATCCATTAGCTCCACAAAAGTAATTAGGGCGTATTTTAGCAATTTCCCTTTAAATTTACCATTTTCTATATTACTTATGATCAATGTCAAACCTTTTTTGTTAATAAATTCAAGAGCAAAAGTGAGATCACTGCTTAAAACAGACAATTTAGAGAGGGCAGCGACTTGGTCGGTCTCGGACCCATTGTTTATCTTGCCCAGGATATCCTGCACGGTCTTTGCTGGCGACAATTCCAATCGTAAAACAGATCCATTTTTAATTTCATTCCGATTTTTCTCCGTAATATAATTCTGATTGTTGCTCTCAGAAAATTGTAGAGCATAGTTTTCAGGGTCGGGCAGACCCCAAGGCTTGCATAGAAGTTGTATGATGCTCGATAGAGGCTGACTTTGATCGAATTCTATCAACTGTGGTACCTTGTCGGGAGCATTGAGCATCTCCACAGCGATTTTGAGGATTGTGGAATCCTTTTCCTTTGTTGCCGACGGCATTTTTATTGGTTTAGTAGACATTTATTGAACATTTGACACGAAGACAATCACCACAACACCACACCTCGCGAATTTACGCCTTATTTATTTTCCCGTAAGTTGACGCACGACATCAAGCTGTTATTTGTCAAAATCAAAACTGTCATAATTGCTACGTTTCGTAACTCGCAGTTAGTTATTTCATTTCGCGTTTTCGCATTTTGGTTTTTAGTCATTTTAAGTAATGAAAAAAAAACAACGACGTATTGTATTATTTTATTTAGTTGCATTAAAATAATACATAATATCGTAACCAAATTGAACTGGATGGAATTAATTAATCAACAACATTGGAGTTCCGCCTTCTGTACGGTCTGTCTGTCTGTATATCTGTGTTACATGGGAACGCCCAAAAAAGGGCTAGTTTCTCATTTTATCTATCTTAGAAGGGATTATGGATGGCTCTTGCAATCTTGCCTCTAATATTATAATGTAGTTAAACATGGATATTATGATGATATTATATTATTCAGAAAACCTTCAAGACAAATACATTTTAATCAAAGTAATTAGGGCAGCAATGCGATCCATGTTGATATCTGATATAGCAATGAAACTGGTACTTATTGCTCTAGTATTTAACAGCTTTGTTAAGCACAATTCGCTTATTTATTGCGATAAGATCGTAGAGGGTACTAGGGCGTTCTTTAACGATGACGTTGATATTTTATTTGTTAAATTTTTTACTGATATTTAGATTTGCATCTGGTTTTCGGTGTGATCGAAAACCTTATGGCTCCAATACGCAACCTTCAGAACCGGACGGTCGCTTCAAGCTGGAAATTGTAGGCATTGACAATGCTTATATTCCTGAACAGCTTTATACTGGTAAATAATTTGTAGACTCATTGAGAAAACCGTTAGCGACTGAACGAAAAACGAACTTATATCTATCTGCCTGGTTTCTAAATACTGATAGGTACTTAAGCTTACATGTTTTTCCAAACCTAATGCTGTATTTCAGTTCAAATAACGGAAACCGACGGGGAGTCCCACTTTACAAGTTTCATGATATCAGCGGAGGGCGACATCAAACCAGACCCTAGGAACCCCAGACGGTTAATATCGATGTACCCTGGAGAACTGAGACCTCAATCGACCACTACTGCTAAATACAGCGACCGGTGCCTGTATTCTGTTGAACAAGCTATGGCTTCCTACAAAACTTCAGTTTCGGTACGTTTCTTAACTGTTTAACATTTTATTCCAAAACATTTATTAATAGTAAAAACCATCTAATTTTGAAACTAACTAAAAAGAATTTTGTTCCTCGAACATTTCTCTAAACAGGTCTATTGGCAAGCCCCTTCATCAGGCAATGGTTGTGTCACCCTACGCGCAATGGTGGCGATTAACGATGAGGTATGGTATGAAGACGGAGTTCCTTTGACACAGAAGGTGTGCGAGGATCTGAGCCAGCCTGATGATGTGGCACCGCAACTGAACCTTGAGTGCGGGATCTGTGATGAAGCTAAATATGAGGTGAGAATGACCAATTTCAAAGTTTTTACTACATGTATGAGAAGGCTTTTGGAAGACTATTTGTGAAGAACTTGTTCAAAAGATTAATTGCGAATTTTGATTATTATTTTTTTTTAAAACGTTGCCCCACACTAGTATTTTCTCCTGTGTCGTGGGTGCGTTGACAAACATACAAGTTCACATTCACAATGACACCCAGACCCGAAACAACAATTTGTGGATCACACAAAGTGTTGTTCCGTGCGGGAATCGAACCCGCGACACGTTGCACGGCAGTCGGTTGCCCAGCCACATCACCAACCGTGCAGTCAGTTTGATTAAAAATATTTGTCAAATTCTTTTTTGCAGCTAAGTTTCACCGGAATATGGTCGCGAAACACTCATCCATACTTATACCCTGAAAACGACTGGCTGCCAAGATACAGCGATCTGGTTGGAGCATCTCACAACGCAGACTATACTTTGTGGATGCCGGGAAACCTGGCGTCCGAAGGATTTAGAGATCTGGCTGAACATGCTAATTCCAGTGTCCTTGAAGCTGAGATCCGCGATAAGGTATGAAATTGGTGCATAATTCAGAATACTATTGAGATCCACCTAAAGCATCGTGGCCTCTATCAGTTGAAAAAAATTGTGCTACAAAAAATCAAATAAAGAAGTGACTGATGTGATGAATAATTGGTTCTTCGCAGATTGGAGATGGAGTTAGAACTTTAATAAAGGGAAAAGGCCATGGATACCGTAAGATGTTTCTTCCAACATACTCTTTCTTCCGTGCCGATAAAGAGAACCACATGTTCTCAGCAGTGGTTGCTTTTACTCCTTCTCCTGACTGGTTTCTGGGAGTTACCAGATTCGAACTCTGTCAAGAAGATAACACGTGGTTGAAGGAAAGGGAGCTTAATCTCTTTCCATGGGATGCTGGTACTGACAGCGGCGTATCTTATGAAGTAAGTTACTATGACCACTATTATATAGGTCCAATATGCTCATCAAAATATATTTGTGTCTTGTTTTCAGTCTGCTAACATCGTAACCTACCCTCAAGATTCGATATCTCGCGTAGCAATGAGTTCGTATGACAAAAACTCACCGTTCTATGAAGTAGATATGAAGGACATGCATCCATTCGGCAAGTTTCATATAAAACTGATCCGAACTTACCACAGAGATTGTGAAAAAGAAACTACAGGTATGAAACGCAATCGTAGGTAAATTTTTCGGTTACCTCCTTGCTGATTTATTATTACTATTTGCAGAAGAACCACCAGCAACTGAAGCACCAAACACATCGGAAGAAGAACCAGCCGAGACGAGTGAGGAGGCTAAGCCGGAGCCTCCAGAGCCATCCAGGTATCAAACACAACTAGATAGCGCCGAGGACGGGCGGTGAGGCTTAGTTGATGATTTGTAGAATACAAGTAGATTAGCGCAATACATTCTTCATCAATCAAACTCTATAAATCCACTGATCACATTTTTTTCTCACAGTTAAGTGTGCCTCCCCATTCATCTCATTTCGTTATATTCTATTGCCCCTAAAACATAGAACAAACTGTTTTAAATTAAGCATTAAACTGTTAAACACCAAGCGGTCACCGGTGACCGCGACCTATTGTTCTTTAATTGTGTCTATAAAACCGGTACTCGACGAGTTAACTAATTCAGATCGACAACAATCATCAACTCATTACCTATGTGCTATGGTTATGTTTTCACTTAATCATACTTTAATAGCACTGTTTGAAGAATGTCAAGTAATGGACATTCGTTATAAGATGCTAAATATAAAGGACGGATGAAGGATCACCCATTGCAACAACCAGTAAGTGTGCTGACAGTAAATCTTTGTCACAGCGAGTCTCCTTTAGTCACTGAAGCAGAAGTGGTGACTGTAGCTCCAGAAAACTGCCCCATGTCTAAATGGCAAGATTGGAGTGCTTGTGATGGGGAGTGTGAGGATGGAAAAGTTGTTGGCATCCGATGGAGAGAGCGATATCATCTGGTGGATGGAATCCCTGTTGAGAAGTACGATCCTCATGTAAGTCTACCACGTGTTTAATATTTTAGCTGTACTTTTTTAAGGATGTGCCTCTGCGCTGTATTTTCGCGGTTTGGACAGTTTTTTAAAATTAAAGTACCTACCTGATGCATTAGAATTAAAAACATAAACGGGCTCCTATTAAAGATAATATTCTTCTTTTACAGGCTAAGCATCATCCCAGAAAGGAAGTATCGAAGTACTGTAAGGCTCACGTAGTAACCTTCGAGAAGGAAGCTTGCGAAGATGAATGCACCAATTCGGAAGAAGAGGACGATCTTACTGGTTCATATAATTACTTACTTACTTCTAAAATCTTTTAGCTGCTGGTAGTTCACGCAGGCAGTAATCCTATTCTGTGTGCTCATAACGACTGATAAAATATTTATTGACCTTTTTTGCAGTTGAGCGTAGAATCATGGCACCCGTGCTTCCTGGAGGAAAGTGGCACTCGAAGCGAAGAGATTTGAAGATGAAGAATAACATCTACACTAACACATACAGTCACAATTAATCTTACCTATCAAAGAAAACATTTTCATCATAGATGTAATAAAGAAGTTTCATTAACAATTAATTAACTACTCTGTATTGTTTAAGAATAATAAATATTTTTTAAATTATTATTTGACTTTGATTATCCAAAGAACCACATAGTTTGATTTAAAACTAAGTCCACATTAGTATCAACCAATTTCTGTGCATAGATCTCTTAAATTACGGCGCGTCGCGTTCCGCGCGCGCCTCAAAGAGCCATCAGACCACCATAGATGGGGCCCAATAGGGCCGATGCCGATTCGGAGTCGCGGAGAACCTAACGGGTAACCGGGGCTCCGGCTCGACGTGCAGGAGAAGGAACGGGGTGGTTTTTAGTCAGTAAGAGTCTGACACTCCCTTCCGCCTCAACGATATTCCCCCCTTAAAAAAAAAAATTAATAAAAAGACCTCTTAAATAGTAGTCCATTGAGCTCATGCTTCAGCTGTTCAAATTCAACCATGGCAGCTACATCCACTTCTCTCCATTAGCTAGTGATGCCTCTTTTACCTGCCTTAATCTAGGTACTAATCATTACTCCAGAACACGTCTCCATCAACGGTCATCGGTTCTGCGACAAACGTCGCCGGCCCACTGCCACTCAGTTTTGCCAAGTTTATCATTACGTTTCATCACTTTAGATTGAGGCACAGACAGGGCAATAATAATGAAATAGGACACCGTGATCCTATGGTCTAAATTCCTTGTTTAAGTACTAAAACTATGACTCAACGCAATGCAAATGCATGAGCATTGACGCAGAACAATATACTTATTAACCCTTTTCCTCTTGTTCCTAGAACAATCTCGTAAAAAATAAATATTTTGAGATATAAATATCATCCTTTTGCGTCATAATGTTCATCTGTGGACTTTATGTAGAGGTTTAAAAGGTCATAATCCTCTGGCAGCGTATTTCAGGGCGTTAATTAGTGTAAATTACGCGGGAGATGCAACAGGACCATTATACTAATTTGTGGATGAATGGTTTAGTAACACGACGACCTGTGACCATATGACACCTACTCCAAGTTTATTTATGAAAGGAATAAAGTGAAAATGGATATAGTTGGTAAGTTTTTCTGTTTTTTTGTCCTCTTTTTCTCCGAATATCAAACCTACGCCTTTATTAATTCATTTTAAGTCATCTGAAATTTCCAGCCCAGGATATGCTTGGTTGTTCCTACCTCCTTAAATAAATTCAGGGAAATTGCTACATTGCCATATGCCTACTATGAGGTGTTCCTTTATTTTTTCATTCATAAACATTAAACCTGACCATTTCAAACCGAACGCTGTAGGTTATTGTTTTAAAGGACTCTTTGTTTTATACTGACTCATTGCCGACCAAGACAGGCATAATAGAATGTTCATATATGACTTATTTATCTCTGTTTTTTAGGTCCACATGTATTCCTATACCTTATTCTACTCCTGAAGACCTGTTTCTGCCTATATGAAGTATGTGATAGACGACCTCTAGGCACGAATACAGATCCCTTGCCACCCGACAACCGCTTCCTGATTGATGTGTATGGTATACGAGAGAACATGTATATTCCGAAAGAAGAATACTCAGGTGACCATATGGGTTTAAAAATAATAATTCATGAGTTTTTGAGTTATAGAAGTGGACTGTTGACGAAAATGATGAAAGCTTACCGCTGCCTGCTTATCCCTTTGTGAAATATTAAAAGAAGTTATGCTTAATTTATTTTTAGTTCGTCTATTTTCACGAGACGGAGTGTCTTCTTTCATCGCCTTTACGATATCCATTCGGGAGGACACTACGGAGAACAAGAATAACCCCAGGAAGCCCATCCTACTGAGTCCTGGCAAGTTGGAACCGCTACCAAACTCTAATAATACCAAAGTTCTGACTACTTGCAATAACACTGTTATACAGTCTGATATCACGCCGAAGACCTACGTTGAGGTAAGATCTTTTCAATAATACGTTCCTAATTTTCCTCTAGGTTTTGGTTGAGCTATGTTAACTTGTAAACCAATGTGCGAGACTTTGGACATCTTACCAAGCATACTTATCTAGGAACTCATCATTTCGGATCTGCCCGAATCCTTTAAATACTATACGACCGTGTGTGCTAATTAGTCAAAGTTAAAAAACTGATGGACAACAAACCCTTTTTCAGGCCAAATGGACGGCACCAGAAAAAGACAATAAGTGCGTGACAGTCTTTGCTGTGGTGGCGGTGAGACCAGACGTGTGGTACAGCTTCGAAGGTCCATTGTCTCAACGGATCTGTGAGGACCGACGAAAGGCTGATGATATGCAGCCGATGGAAAATTATAACTGCCAAGTTTGTGAGGATGCGAGGTATAAGGTAAGGTATTGAGAGTTGCAATTTCAAAACATAGATTTATCTTTTTTGGTGGTTAAAGCTTGTTGATCTTGGGGAGTTCTGGACTTCTTGATATGTGGGTAAGGGTCATTTGTTAATTATTCTATTTTTCGGTTTACTCACGTAATAATTTGACAAGGTACTCGACTAGTTTCTAACCATGCTGGAAACTAAACATGATAATTAATTTAGTATGTCACACGAAAGTTATAATATAAAGTCAGTTGTTAGTAGCAAATAGCCGGACTGTGTCTTATTGAAAGTTTTAATGATGTCTCTTATCTTATACTAGCTTTTACCCGCGGCTTCGCTCGCGTCACAAAAGGATAAAAAGTAGCCTATGTGACATATACCAATACACACAGCGCCATCTATACCAATAATTTCGTTTTCCCTCGAGAATATAAAATTTTTCCGGAATAAAAAGTACCCATTTAATCCAGACATCTAACTTCACATCTGCAAAAATTCAAAGCAATCGGTTTAGTAGTTACGGCGTGAAAGTGAAACAAACAAACAAACAAATTCACTTTCCGATTTATAATATTAAGTAAGGACTGTCTTTAAAGTACATCTGTGTATTTAATTGAGTGTTTTCTTTCCGACAGTTAATATTTGAAGGTATGTGGTCGTACAACACCCATCCCACGATGTATCCGCCAGCTGACCTAGTGGCCAGATTTAGCGACGTGGTCGGTGCCTCTCACAGCAACGACTTCTCTCCTTTCAAGTATAATTCCGATGCTACTGATGGCCTGAAGCTTTTGGCTGAACAAGGAAACACTACCAATTTGGAGGTCGAAATATATCAAAGGGTTAGTATTAGTAAACTGTGGAGTAGGTATAGAGCAGGTTTACCGCCTTCGTTAAAATTGCAGCTGTACGTAATGGAAATACAGAATGGTCAGATAGAGAAATCACGTAAGTACCTAATAGGTAGTAGATATTAGTAACATAACATAACATCACGCCTGTTATCCCGAAGGGGTAGGCAGAGGTGCACATAGAAGTAACACCCACTTTTCACCATTTATGTTATGAGTCCCATGTAATAGGGGGTGAGCCTATTGCCATATACCGGGCACATTTCCAGACTTCGTACTGTACTTTGCCCGACCCGGGAATCGAACCTGAGACGCCTTGCCCGGCAGTCGCACTTGCGAGCACTCGGCCAACGAGGCAGTAGGTACTAGTACTACTCACAAAAGGTTCATAGTTGTTTCCAAAGTGGTAAAATTCATCGGGTGATTTCATTTCCACAGCTAGGTACCGACGTCCGAACAGTAATAAAAGCAAGAGCTCCACCAAGTACCAATATGAAGACTATATCCACCTTCAGAGCGAGTCGGAAGCACCACATGGTCTCCTTAGCAACGGCCATCGTTCCATCTCCAGATTGGTTCCTGGGAGTCGCCAATTTCGAACTGTGTGACGCCAAAACTCACGAGTGGGCCAATAATGTCATTTTCAACTTGTATCCAATGGACGCTGGGACGGATAGTGGGAAGAAATTTGATGTAAGGGATCTTATTTATTAAGTACCTAACCTAGTGTGATTGATTAAAATGGCAGTAGGACTTTGGTGGTGTAGATAGTAGTCATAAGAAAGACTATTTATAATTCAGATTCAATCAGACGCTCCCAATATGACTTGACTCAAGATTTTTAAAACCAAAAACTCCAAAATTTGAATTGACCATTGAAATCTAAAACTTCTATTAGCAATTGCACTTGCTCTATAATTTCTGTTTCCAGTCCTCAAATGAAGCGACAGCGCCACCTCAGCCAATTTCGACTGCGAAAATTGATGCGAACATTCCCAAAGAACAATTGAAGCCGTTTGCAAGATTAGTGTTTCAATTGATACGGACTTATTACAACCCTAACTGCACGGAAGATACGACTTTCACTGACGAATCAGGTAATTTAAAAAGTTCGCTTTAGCAGTCCGACTTGACCGTGTTTAGGTCATTTAAGTGCCTACCGATTTATCGTCAAACTCGATTCGAAACCTACCAACAGCAAGTACCAATGTGACTTTTTCAGAGTTATATGTACTTCCTAAGTAGACATTACTGATAAAGCTGAAGGAAAACATCATGAGGAAACCTGAGCTAATGATTTCTAATTATAAATTTGAGATCGCCAACCCGCATTGAGCAAGCGTGGTGATTAATGCTCAAACCTTCTCCGTGTAAGAAGAGGCTATGTTCAGCAGTGGGCAATTATAGGCTGGCGCTGATCGCTTACCATCACGGGATCCGTCTACTCGTATGCCTCCTACACCAAAAAAAGGTTTTTACACTTGTTCATTTTCAGGTGGTGCGGGTGACAACGGTGAACATACGGACGACGAAGGTTCTGAAGAAGGTGAAGTCACTAAGAAAGTGGATTACCAACCATCTCAACCAACTTCCACCACCAGGTAATACCTACCTGCATTCCGAATTTCATTTCGTGAGCTCTTCACTTCTCCTAATAATATAACTAGACTACCCAATCAAACTTCGAAAGATTCATTATTACTTCAGCTTTAACCATTAAAACCTTTATTTTAATTCTGCTTTCAGCGAGGAGCCACCATCAGTAGACCCAGATTCATCGCCTGAATGTCCAATGACTCCTTGGGAAGAGTGGCAAGAGTGCGCTGGCGAATGCATCGACAATAAGGTGAACGGATACCAAATCCGATTCAGAAATCATGTTGGGGTAAGTAAAGCTATAGAGATATAGAGCATAATTTGCAAATCAAAAAGATTTCGAAAGGCAAACAGATCTAGGTTAACTAAATAAAATATTAAAAAAATTATGCGCTTGAAATGAGAGTTTAGGCACCAATGAAGGAGGTAGTATTGCTTCTGGTCAATCAAGCAAGCAATGCGGTAGGCCGTCAACTGAGATTACTACAACCAAGAGATGGATTTTGTTTCTCAGTATTTGTGGCAAGTCTCTCTTACCTCCTGCTTTGCATTAAATCAATTCTATTCCGTTAACTAAATATTATTGCTTATGTAATGCGGTAGGCCGTCAACTTTTAACAGCCAATTGAAAGATTTTATTTCTTCACTAACAGCATCTGGTACAAGCGCAATCTCGAACATTATTATTCCTCACCTCATTTACGTAGAAACGCGGAGCAGCCTCCTTTATTTCTTTTTTTGTATTTTGCGTTGATTTTTTTAATGATAATTTTAAGAACCATTACGTTTTCTGCAGGATCCATCTCCCGAATGTTTGAAGATGCCTCTTACAGATATGCAAAATTGTGAAGAAGAATGCGCGGAAGAGCCAGCAGAAGGTGAAGAAGAGGAGGAGGAGGAAGAAGAAGAAGAATAATAAAATAGTTTTCAATAAATTAATAGCTCGGAGAAGGTCTTTGTTTTATTTTTTTCTTCTAAACAGTTACAGCGTTTGATACCCCCACAGAGATTCTTCAATTAAATTCTCCCATAATATTAGGAACATAAGCGGAATTAATTGAAATACTTTTTTGACTTTTATTTCATTTTATAAACTAAACAATTGGAAGTTCCTGCAGACCCAAATTCCTCTTTATGGAGCCCTGCCCACGCACCAGGAGCTTGAATTTCTTCCGTTACTGGTGGATATCTGCTTTTTATTATCAGCGTCCTTGTTTCTAAATGTTTTTTATTTAAGATTTATTTAAAATATAATTATATAAATAAAGAGGATTAATCTTTGTAGAAACAATATCTAAAATATATTTGTAAATTAATTAATGTAAAAATTGAATATAAAAAATTTTAGTATTTACTGGTTTCAAACTTCAATTTTTGAGTGTTTCCGAACGCATTTTTCCTTACGTCATCGAGTGAGTGAGAGACGTTCGTGATTCAATGGAGTTTGAGTGATTTTTCAATCAGAAGAATTTTTGTAATCAGGGAAAATAATTCGAGTTACATCTTTTTTATTATGCTTACAAAGTCTCCAAAACCTGCCTATAAACGGTACATAACTTGGGGCTTAAAAACTGCATTGTTAATTGAAGGAGTTGGACTCGGCCTATCGTACGCTCTGTGGTACAAGTTGAACACCGAAAGAGGTGAGTGTATTATTCGTTTATTTTTGTACTTATTAATGTATTTATGGATACGTAAACAACTGAAACAAAGGCATTTGTTTTTCACAACAGCATTTAAGTGTCATGATACGACAAAAATATATTTTGACGTCTAAAAACTGAATAATGTCAACATGTGTAGTCCTATGAGAAATTTACCGTCTGGCTAATTAGATGTCTCACTTCTTCTCTTCCGTGAATCTACGACTTACAAAAGCATGGAAATATCAATGTTTATAAAAAAACTTTTTCTGTCATCACTTGGCCATAGTTTCACCTTATGACTCGCAAGACTAACTGACCCAGCCCCATATAATTCCAGATTTCCGTCTGTACATGTATCGAAACCACAACTGGATATTAGAAGGTTATTACGGACTTGGTGAGGCAATCACTGAAAACAAAATCCGTGATCTTGATCAGGCAGTTTGGAAAAACGAAGGCAAAATTTAAATAAGCGGTGAGATGTCTGTTGCTATTAGAGCCACATTTTGGGTGGTGACCTTTGGATCCCTCGGTTATGCACTATTCAAGTTGGTCAAACCTGATGATGAACTTCTTAAGCAGGTCATTATTGAATTCTGTATTAGTTTATGTTGATTGTGGTCACTGATTACTAGAATAATCTTAGTTGGTTTTGTGGGACTAATCTCTGCATGTGTTTTCAAATTGTGAGTGTACCTGTGGGGCTTCTGTGGTCTGTGATCCCATAAACTGAAATCTACATTCATAGAAATCAAGTAAAAAGCATTGATATAGTTTTTCTATCAGTTATTTTGTGGCTAACCAATTCAACATGAGAACAAGAGTGTCCATTCCATTGATCATTCATGTTGAAATTAAATATTCAGTCCACCTCAACATATTCATTTAGGTTGATCCATTCACCATCTATTTCACTTGATTAAATTGAAATGTGTAACTGAGATTACTACAAACAAGAGATGGATTTTGTTTCTCAGTATTTGTGGCAAGTGTTGGCCTCTTACCTCCTGCTTTGCATTTAATCAATTCTATTCCGTTAACTAAATATTGTTGCTTATGTAAAATTCTTCTTTGTTGTAGTTTGACGAAGGATCTAAACTCACAGACGCTAGAAGAGTGAGTCAACAAACTATTAATGTTTTAAAAGAAGCTGCAAAGCCAGATTCAGAACTAAATAAAGTAATAGAAGATTTATTAAAAAAAGGAAAATGAGTGACAGAAATTCTGTATTAGAACGATTAAGTAGGCGAGATGCACAACGTTTAGAAAAACTGCAAAAGGCCCACAAAGCAAGGGAAGAAGTAGATGCTTCTAATGAAAACGAAGATTATTTTTCCAGCTCATTTAAAATTAAATCTGAATACATTGAAGACTTACTCATGCAAGTTCCAACTTTAGAGTTAAATGTATTGCCTTCCCACTTTGATAGCATAAAAAGAGAAGTAAACGAATTACAAAAATATGTAGTGACATCATCATTCTTCTTGAAGGAATTCAACATGCGTAAATATTTGGGTATTGTACAGAATCTACAAACAAAATGTTATGAATTAGAAGAAAGGTATGTTCCCAGAAAAAAGTTTGGATTCTCTAAGAAAAAGATTCCCAAGTCACACACTGAGAAACAAGGGTCACTCGACGAAAACGATGCAGCAAGAAAGACAGACAATAAATGGGATGAAAAACTTTTTGGTTTTGATTCACAAAAAGACAAAGTGCTTTTACTTGAAAATGATGATTTGTTTCAAAGGGATGTTGCTTTACGGAATCTTACAAACTGCACCGTAAGTCTCAAGGGAGTGATGGGAACTTTGCATTTAACTAATCTAGAAAACTGTATAGTTCTTTCCGGTCCGGTCACTTCATCTGTGTTTATGGAGAAATGCATCAACTGTAAAATCGTTACTGCCTGCCAGCAATTACGAATGCACTCATCTAGTAATTGTGACATTTATCTACATGTAACTAGCAAGGGAATAGTTGAAGATTGCACAGGCATATGTACTGCTCCATACAATTTGTATTATGAAGACTTAGAAAAGCATTTCAATATGTCCGGTTTGGACCGGAATTCCAACAACTGGGACCGTTTGGATGATTTTAACTGGCTGGCTCCAGACATCCCATCACCTAATTGGTCAATTTTGAATGCAGAGTTACGCATCAACAGTTGGGACGAGTGGTGGTCAAGGATTCCTTCCCAATAGTTTAGAGTAGTCTATATAAATTTGCAGTGTTATATGAAGCTATACATAACCCATAATTGTAACATCTAATTTAGTAACAGCGACTAATTTATATGAAAAAGCTGATTTACAAAATATAATTTCTACTTCATTACTATTTGTTGACCAATTTGTTGAAATGTTGATTAATATGGAATTTTATAAACAAGTTCTGGTTCAATGATGCTAATTGAAGTGGAAAAATATCCTATAAAGTAAAGCAGCTTCACAGAAGCTAGTAGCTTTGATGATTTTAGTTTAGAAGATAAATAGCTAGGAAACAAATGTAACGAGTATACTTTCTACATTACAGAAGTGTCCTTGCCATAGCAATCTGGTAAATTTTAAGTACATTTTTCAGCAAAATGATCAAAGGATGATATGTCCCGTAATACAGAATAACACGAGTGGGGAAAGACTGTAATGGCTGCATATGAAACATATTAAATATTTGTAACTATTGCAGTGTTAATTACAACTCCCACAGCATTTAAAGGTTCCATAATTACCGGTGGGTTTATCATCAGCATCGTATCTTCCCTTTGACATAACTCATAGAGAGATAAAAACATGTAATTTTTCTAATATTTAAAGTTAATTAATGTTCATAGGTTATATTACGTCAACCACAAATTATGTTCGGCAAATATCTGCTTATTTAATTCACTTATATAATAATTTATGAAATAAATAACTTTATTATTAGAATTAATGATTTTTATTTCAACTAGTTGTACTTCATAAGTCTTCTTAATAATAATTTGACCTGGAACAAAAGTTTTATGAGATTTACTTAAATTCTACCTTAGATAAACTACTAGACTTGCTCGGTATAGCCAACTATTTTTGAATTTTTTGCAAGTAATGGAGACATTCGAAGGTTGCAGTCTTCCCGAGACCACCAGTTGAATATAATCTAAAGCAGGTCTTGCTTCCCCGGCACTTTTACTTGCAATCACTCTCGACCATATGAGTATACCAAGTAGGTATAGGGGTTGACCAAAGAGTAAATAAGTATAGGGGTGGCTCATTATAAAAATACTGTATTTTCTGTATGGGAACCCCAGGCGCAACATGTGGGAACTTCACCTTGTCTAAATATCATGGTTTTATTAAGGTATAGTCTGGTGACAGACGCAGACGGTGCAGTATCCTCAAAGTAAGAACACTTGATATCAGTAGGTAACTAAGCAATCCAAAAACCTTGCTACAAGCCTCCAAAGAAGAGTAAGAGGAAAAATAAAAGTCTAAGTAACAATAAATAATAATTTATTAACACTACAATCGAAAATATATAAAAACTGTCAAGTATAATCACAGTAATTTTGCAAACTGATACAATTTTTACAAGATATTTTTATTGCAGTGGCAACATTGTTTCACTTTAAAAATTAACTGGCAATACAGCACAGACATGCTTTTTTACTTAATTCTAAAATTACTATTCATTTATTAAGAACAAACAATGATTTAGTTACTGCCGAAGTGCCGACGTTACGTTTTATTATAAAAAGCCTGCCTTCCTGGAAAATGATCTAGAATATCTATGTACAAGATACATTTATTAATATTTTATATAAAAATACGTATTTATATAAAATAGTAGAGTGATTGAATTAAATGTAAAATGCATTGTAACCATCTAGCCATCATAAAACTGTCACAAACCAATTGGAAATGCGATGTTGAATTTAAATCAACATTCATTAATATAACAAATAATTCCGACCCTTTCATTAGAACATTTATCGTTTTCTGCTCCTTAATTTCGAGACTATAATAATACTGGACTTATGGCTACCATTTCTTTTTAATTTTCCTAATAAATTCCACAGTATTTCAAATAGTTCAACTCATATTTAAAAAAAAAATTAAGAAACATAATGACACTTATAAATTCTTATTACAAACTTGGAAATATAATATATAAATAATTTTTTTTTGTAAGTGCTTCAACCTTAATAGAGGAAAAAATATAGAAAACGAACTTAGTCTTCTTTCTCCAGGCTTTGTCCAACTAAGTGGGGGGTCGGTGACCCTTTAGACTTTAGACCCAGTCAATATTATCCCATATTAAATATCAATGACAACCTGAAATATAGAGTTTAAATGATTTGGATGTGTTCAGATTTAATTCGGTCAGTAAATAAATGCAGCGGTTGGTATAAATTGAATATTCTACGTTCCAACTAAGTACATAGGTACATCTTAACACTAAAAACATAGTTATTTGAAAAAAATGTCATATTATACATATATGGAAGAATAAGAATACAAATATTATACAAAAACTACAATTTTGCCTACGATAATGCATAATATGTAGCTTAAAATAGACCTTAGATTTTAAAATTTTTCTCCACCCAACCTTTGAGGGTGCTGCCATAATTTCCTGAACGTATCCTTATACATATCAGTCCTTACTAATATTTATGTAAAAACGTATTATTAGAGAATAAGCCGAATATGTTTTAAATAATAATATTGCTTAAGAAGTTGTTATTATAACAATATTTTTATAAGATGCCTCTTTTGACTTTGCAAACACTGTAGCTTAATTCCAGTTATTCAGCAATATTATAGCCCTTTATTATTAATGTCGTGGTGGCCCGGAAGTTTAAGACGCTGACTTCTCATGCATGAGAATGCGGGTTCGAAACCTACCAACGGCAAGTACCAATGTGACTTTTTCCGAGTTATATGTACTTTCTAAGATTATTTAGACACCGCTGACTAACGGTGAAGGAAAACATCGTGAGGAAACCTGGGTTTATAATTTCTAATTATAAGTTTGTAATCGCCAACCCGCATTGAGCAAGCGTGGTGATTAATGCTCAAACCTTCTCCGTGTGAGAAGAGGCTTTGCTCAGCAGTGGGCGTTTATAGGCTGTTGATGATAGTCCTTTATATATTAGTCGAAGTTAGAAACCAGATTGAAAACACACTCAATGATCAGTCATAAAGAAGTTTCTCCTGAGGCAACTTCACTGGAATTCAGTTTAGGAAGACATAAATTTAATCAGATAAAAATATATTACAAGAAAAAAAAAATATTCAGAATTAATTTCTCATTTGTCATGCAAAAGAGATTCTGAAGTCTGAAGGAAGAAATATTATTGCACTATGCTATCTTTAAAAAAATACACCTGTGAACTCTTTGCTATGTGCACAGATATAGATCTGTGACTGTGTTAAAAAGTAAAAATATATATTTCTTGATAAAATTTGAGCATAACACTGAGAGTGTATCATAAGATTTTTTGTTAATTACAGGTATGTTTTACAATTTAAGTACATAAGAACATTTTACAAAGTTTACAATTAATTAATTTCATAATAAGACATTCATTAGAGACAATACAGATAAAAATACATAATTATAGATAATTACGAAAGCGGAAAAATAGGGAATATTCAACAGAGAATCAGTCTTTTTTAAAAATTTGTAGCATTTATTAAAAAAACAGTTGGGAACAATTAAAATATGTGTGTGTCATGGTGGCTCTGTAATCGTATTCATAGTTAACTTACGAATCTTTTGGACTGTATACAGTTGTTTTTAACTTTTGATGTACTGTCGATTTACAAATAGTAATGTAAAATTATATCAATTGATTTGTATCTTGTAATCTGGGGACTGTTCAAATATTACCTATTTGACCGCGAAATTTACAAAATGGGTGCCGGTTATATTATGTATATCTATTTCAAAGTTGAACCACATTCGGCGACCTCATCTTACACGTAATGGCGGAGTTACAGTCACACACGTTCCTGCCGCGTCTGAATCGATTGGGTAAGTTGTGTAAATTGAATGTATTATTGTATTGGCATTGTGTAACAGTACTAAGATTAAAAGGGTAATTTAAGTCAAGGAATTTTTTTTAACAGATGATCCTTAAATTATTTTTCTAAACAATTTTCAAAGCATCAATCTAAAAAATCTACTTTTAACCACGTGCGATATTTACTCTGAAAATTAAATAATGTGTCATAAGTATATAAGGCAACTGAGAAATTATAAACTAATAAGAATTGAGAAGAAAAAAAACGATATAACTTTGTTAAAACGAAAAAAAAAACCAAAGAATAACAACTGCTGTATATGGCAAGACTGAATTAAGTATGTGACAAAATTATTGCCAGAGTGTTTATTCTCCAGTAAGAGAACTAAAGCATAATTTAAATTATTCCCCTTCAATATAAAGCAATCCAAACAGAAAAAAGAAATGATACTAAACCTTGCAAATTAATTTTAATACGACTGAAATAGCCACCGTCCTTTTTATATAAAAACAAGATTCTTGTCACCATAGTATTATGCATTTTAATTATTAAGGAAAAACAAAATCCGCAACACATCAACGATTTTCACAATTCCGGTTCGATATTAAAAGGAATGTCACCCAAAAGCGACAGTGGCGCCACTGAGAATTATGCAAAAATTGATTTTCGAATCGATTCAAACGCGGCACAACGTTCTATACTAACAAATTAAACCGAAAACTTATTTTTAGGTCTAATGCTTAGGCTACTCTCACCAGTTTGGTTTTTTATGTGAGATGGTCCATTTCTGATAGGTGTTGTTAGGGTCACACGGTACTAGGCCAAGTTGCCGTGAGCTCGGTTGTAATGTGAGGCAGTGGCCATGTAGACGGTGGATGAGGTGGTTCTTTTCTTCATCGTAGCTGTAAATATTAAGATATTTGTGAGATAATTGTTTTAGTTGGAGTCATAAAATTGAATGGGGAAATGTATTACTGGGAATTTAAGTGTGGGAGAGATACCACGGCCTCACAGAAAACCGACCGTGTGAGTGAGGTTACCCGAGGCCCAATCACCCCCTTCCCCAGTCTCCCTAATCCCCGAATCCCTCACAATCCTCAAATTCCCAATCCTCAAAATGCCGGTAACGCACTTGTAAGGCCTTGGTGTTTCAAGAGCATTTTGCATACCACCAGGTTATCCGTTTGCTCGTTTACCGGCTAAAAAAACAAGAAATGAAAAAATGGAGTTCAGTAGGGACGATGCCCGACCAGGGCTGTGCATGACTGCAAGGGTTAACGGGGCTCCAGCTTGAAGCAGGATTTCGAACTGGGTGGTTTTTAGTCAGTAAGAGTTTAACACTTCCTCTCGGTTCACCCAGGAGTTATTTGACGACTATTCCCCTTTGAAAAGGCAACCACATGTCACTCACCTCCAAGGTCCATCAACAGTGCCAAGCCTGCAAAAGGCTTGCTTCACGTTGTCCACATCAGCTTCCACGCAGCGTTCTCCCACTCCCAGCTGACCAGCTTCGTTTAGGCGGAACAGTTGACTGTTGCCGGAGCCATGACACGAGGCCGTGCCTGCAAATGATGTAAAACAAGTTGGTTAACAACTGGATAAGAATATAACAAACAAAAAGTCAAAACTAAAAAGCAAAAAATAACTATTATTAGTACTGGCACTATTATGAGCTTATGGCACCGACTTCTAACCTATCAGTGGTCTTTGAAGTTTTTTCAAGTCGGTAAAAATGACTATGTGGTGTTTGTATTGGTTACTAGGATAGACTTAAGGAGAATGTAACATAACATAACATCACGCCTTTTATCCCCGAAGGGGTAGGCAGAGGTGCACATTATACCACTGTGCAATGTAACACCCACTTTTCACTATTTATGTTATGAGTCCCATGTAATAGGAAAAAAACTTAAGGAGAATATGAATACAGATTTTTAGAAAGCAGAAATTATGGTGACTATGTTCGCTATCAATATAGTAATATTTTCTATAAGAACACGTTATTTTTATTAATTTTTTATCCATAAAACAATGGCAATGCTACTTTATTTTATGCTTGCAAAAACACAATTTTAAAAGGAAAATAAATAACAAAATACTATTATGTTTACATTAATACGCCAGACAGAAATGACAACAAAGCCAATATAAAATTAATGCACCTGTGTACATACATATTTTCATTAAATAAGTCTCACTATGGTGTATGAATACAATATATTTTCAATAATATTACAAAAGGGATTATTCAAAAGGAAATAATTAATTAGCTTACCTATGTATGCTGGAGCTCCCTTGCCCATAGTGTCGAGACAGACTCCAGTGGCTTTGTTCTTCACCATACCCCAGTGAATGTTCTTCGGCAGCTTAGGGAACTTGTCATACACATCGTAGGCCACATTCTCCATGTACCACCCAAAGCTCTTACACTTCAACCGATCTTTCAAAGCAAGCTGTTCAGTAATATCACCCATATCCAAGAAACGCGCCATTGGCTCCCTAGTATAGAAATATTCCTTATGTTCCTCGTCAAACCAAGTCTCTATAACTCTCTTATAGTTAATTGTGATGAGGGATCCCTTCCTATTCTTGGCAAGGTTTCCGAATGAGTAAGGCATAAACGCTCTGTACACATGCCCAACTCTTGAACAAGGCACCCATTCTATACTACCACCGCACTGCCAAATTTTAAAACTCAGTTCAAAGTTCTCTCCACCCCAAACTAAAAGACCGGGGTCATAAGCTCCAATCTCGAGAAAATATCTTCTGTTGATAGCGAAAAGACCTCCAGCGTGTGTTGGACTCTTGTAAGGCTCCGATTTGTGTTTGTGAAGGTTTACTTCTCTATCTGGTACCTCATTTTCTTTGTAAAGCATGCCCCATTCGAAGATACCTCTGTAGTTCATGCCGTGTTGGTAAACTGGTCTATACTCGAAGGTTCTGTGGTCCACGCCATCGATGACTGGGACTGTCATGATTCTATAGTCTCTGTAAATAGGAGCCAGGAGCGGTGGTAGCCAGTTGAGGTTTACTTCGCAATGAGCGTCTAAGAATACGATAACTTCACCAGTCGCCTCTTGAGCACCCCTCGAACGTGTTCTAATCAGACCCTCACGCTGAGTGTTTCTTATTAGACGTACTTTACCCTTCCATCTTTTAATGTAGTTGTCCAGATTTGATTTTAAGTTTTCTTTGTCTGAGAAATCGTCGACCTGGAAACAAATAAATGTATGATAAGATTCTGTTTGTGAGAGATAGGTAATCAGGACTTATTAGAGGTCTATTTAGAGTGCCCGTTGCCACTATAGGTGCTTATATGGTGACCACCGGAGCGGTTTTAGTGAGGTAACAATCTTATACTGCCCGGTTTTTATTGCAAACAGCAAGGCGCCTTCTGAAGGTCAGGCCAGTAAAAAAAGGTAAAAACTTGTAGTTAGTAACTTATTAGAATCTTCTTATCCATCAGGTATGTATATCTAATGATGTAATCATTTTATCACATCATTATGTGAGTAAAATTTCTTGTTGCAACAATAGGGAAGGGAAAAAGATATTACAAATATCTTAACATGATATAAAACATGTAATTATTATCTTTATCGATGCTTGTAATTAAAAATCGAGCTAATATTGATTATCGTCGTCTTAATTAGTGGGCGATGTAATCGATACTTATTAACTAACACTGTGATTGTGAGTATAATGCTAAACCGAATCGCAATGTTACGATAAATGAACTTGGGAATTAACTGTGTTTTGTGCTGGTAATTACGTACAATCGTAGCTATGCTCCTAAGTGGTGAAATGTACCTTTTAGGGTACAAACTGGAAGTAGTGCAGTGGAATCATAATAAACTTTAATGTTTTAAGTATTTTAATTGATTTTTACTTTATTTGTGTAAACACACTGTGTCACGGTGTTATTTCTTTTCCTACCACAGGCCCACAGGAAGAAATTCCAGTTGGTATATGTGGGAGCTATGTACATTATTTTTATTTATGTGTTGTCCTTTGTGTTGTATGTGTGTACATAAACAATAAATAAATAAATAAAATCGGCAAAACTTAGGAAAGCGGGTAAACCTACAATTAAGTGAAAGTATTACATAGCAGTTCAAAAGGTTCAAATTTATTAAAGCGATGGTGCCCAGTCTCTTTTAAATGTAGAGTCCCTTACGCTGGAATACTGAAAGGCTACTCCATTTTTTACAACTTATTGTAGGTAGATAAGTGTGGGAGAGTCATGCTTCGGCACGAATGGGCCGACTCGACCGGAGTGATACCACGGCCTCACAGAAAACCGTCGTGTGAGTGAGGTTACCGGAGGCCCAATTACCCCTAGTCCCCCCCTCCCGAATCCTCCACAATCCTCAAATTCTCAATTCCCAAAATGCCGGTAACGTACTTGTAACGCCTTGGTGTTTCGGGTGCTCATGGGCGGCGCCGATTGCTTACCATCAGGTGATCCGTCTGCTCGTTTACCGGCTTATGCTATAAAAAGGTACTTAAATATCGTACAAAAAAATATAGTGATAGAACTATAGTTAACCCCGACTTAAAAATGATTTCTTTCAGTACTCGGGCTTGAAATGAAATGATATTAATATTACTGCAAACAGGTTACAAACTGAAACTTTTACACGTCAATCTGTAAAATACTAAATGAGGGCACGCATTTCCTAACTGATTACTCTGAGAAGAAACGCCGAAACAAACTCAGAGGTTAGTCGGCTCTTACGAGAACCTCAGCGGAGTTAGGGTGATGTCAAAATGTTATTATGTTTTCGGCTTACTCACGTAATAATTTGACGAGGAACTCGACTAGTTTCAAGCCATGCTAGAGGCTCATATTCACGAGCAGCACTTCGCGACCCGCGACGCGGCGACTGTTGCGCTGCAGTAACGCGTGAGTAAGCCGAAAACATAATAATTTATTTAGTATGTCTCACGAAAGTTACAATACAAAGATGTCAAAATATGTTCTACCCTGCCATACTACAGTTGAAGTTTTAATTTTTTAATTACTCCAATGTTAGTTATTCATAAACATTAGTTTACGAACTGCGATACGGAGTCGTTTGATCGATATACCACAGAAGTGTTTTATGCAAGTTTTATTTTTCCAGTATACGTTAGCTACTGTGAATTTATTACAATATTTCGAAGATGGCGCGTTATCGGGGCTTACGCTTCAATGGCAGTTGTGTTAACTCATAAGATTGTGTAACTGTTGCAATACTGGTGAACGTTTTGTAAGATGATATAACAAGTTTCATTTTAATCCACTTTAAGGATTATAATGTACTTATACTTTCACTTCACTTAGGCACTGGACAAAGCGGTTCATTGAACTCTATTAACAATCTGACCGACTTCCGAAATAATGTTTTTATTAACCGATTTCGAAAAGAAACAAAAGGACATTCTCAGTATGACCTGTATGTATGTATGTTTGTGCGCGAATACCTCGTGATTGGCTGAACCGATTTTGATGCGGTTTTCAGAAAAGTGTTTGTTACACTTGGGAGAAGGTTTTAGTATAATATACTATAATATATATATCAGATAATATAACCAACCGACTTCAAAAAAATGAAGGGCTTTTTTCAAAGTCAAAATCAAAGCATTTATTTTAATTAAATCATATTTTGGTACTTTTGAAACGTCAACAAATACAAAATAAATAATAGTCTGTCAGTCAGTCCGTCAATGAAGTTAGGTGAAGATAGGCGATTGAAGTCGGTATTTTTAAACTGAGTTAAAGTATAAAATAAATATATCATTTGATATTTTATGGAAGATATTAGGGAAGGCCTTTTACAACAAAATGCTTTCATGTTAAAGGTAATTGCTGAATAGCCTTTTATACGACATACGTAACCAATTAATAAAATACTTGAATCAGAAAATATTTATCAGGAAAAAAATGCTAGTGGCTACGTTTCTTTGCTACCAAGTGTAGATTTTACTTTGTAACCCTTTAAAAAATAAAATAAGCCTTTATTACTGGGGCTACAGCTTGACAATTCATTCACAGTTTGTTTGTCAAGTGTGGGAGAGCCATGCTTCGGCACGAATGGGCCGGCTCGACCGGAGTGATGCCACGGCCTCACAGAAAACCGACGTGAAACAACGCTTGCGTTGTGTTTCGTCGTGTGAGTGAGGTTACCGGAGGCCCAGTTACTCCCCTTCCTAATCCCCGATTCCTCAACAATCCCCAAAAGGCCGGTAACGCTGTTACAAGTGCGTGTTCCGGGTGTCCATGAGCAACTCCGATTGCTTACCATCAGGTGATCCGTCTGCTCGTTTACCGATTTATTCCATAAAAAAAACTATTATTATGCATCAGTACTTGTATCCCAAGCTAGTCCTTCGACATAGGCCTCCCCTAAAGATTTCCACTTTTCCTTATCCCTCGCAATTGTCATCCAGCAGTTCTCCTTAGGACAACCATTGATCGTAGGTAACTGTTTTCTGTGAGCTAGGTATTACATTGTCGTAGGTACATTTACATTAACTGTATTGCGTGCTAAACGGTACAGATGTGTGAACATGGCTAAACAAATGTTTTCTAGCAAAACGTACTGTTTGGAGCAAACTATGATTCACTTATAGGCAATTTTTCTTATTATAGGCACGCACATATAAGTATTTGATAATATAGCACGAGTAGATAGGTACTAGATGAATATTGTTTTATATTTGAACAGCTGACATTGAAACTAGTGCGACTTATAAAAATATTACATTTAGAAGCAAAAAACGGTAACGAGCAAACTAGCGGTTTTTCATTTTCATTTCTTGATATTTTTTGACACAATTATTTTATTAATTGGTAACGTATAGGATGGATGAATGAATAAGATATGAAGTCGATAAAATTTTGTTTTTATTTGAACAATGCGATACGGCCTGAAATGTGATATGGATCTTTTAACTAATCTGATTGTTAAGCGATACACCATATAAATACGGGGTATAATACAAATGGGTTTCGTTACGTTTAAATAGACAAATTCAATATAAGATTATGCACACAAAACCAGTATGAAACAACTTTTGCGTTGCGTTTTGATGTGCGTGTGAAAATGCCAAAAGCCTACCCAATCAAAAGCCGGCACGGTACTTGTAATGGGGTCTACCGTATTTTCGCTCCCTAGGTGGCGCTAGTGTGAACCTCTCATTCTTCGTCCAATAGGGAATTAGCTAGTATAACACCATTGGACGTTCAATATTTGACAGCTGCTGTGATTGGACGAAATAACACCTTCCTACATTTGCGTTACGTGGCGAGCAAAAATACTTTAGTTCCCGTTTTAACTCCTGTGGCGTTCCAAGTTTCCATGGACAGCATTGATTGCTTACCATTAGGTAATCTGTCTACTTGGTTGCTTATAAAAAAGATACTCACCAATACAATTTCATGTAGAATATTCGGCGGGGAGCGATCTATGACGGAGTGTACAGTTCTCATGAGGACTGAGAAACCTTCGTTGTGGAACACGATGATGACTGAGGTGCTCGGCAGCTCTGTAGGGTAGTGCCAGTACTTGCACTCGTCCAGACGTGTGTCGGGAATCGATCTGAAGACAAAAATGAAGTATAACTTATGAAAGTATATGGTTTGTCGAAGTAGATGTCAATTTAATTGTATAGTTTTTTGTTAATTTTGTTTCTGAATTGTATTAATTTTTATTTCTTATATTTAATTACCTGATTAGTTTGTTTTTAAGTACCTAAGTAATAGTATTTATATAAGATTTACAGTATAACTTAATGGCGTAAGATGTAGTGTTATATATGTAAATTTTCTAAATAAATAAATAAATCCTAGTTTGTTACATTAAGAAGAAAAAAAGGTTGATTCGTTTCGGTTTTAACTTTGTTTTCTTAAAGTTAGCTACTTAGATATTAAAAAATCAGGTTTATTTATCAATTTATAGTGAGTTATTTCAAATTATTACCTAAACACCATAACCTATGTAATAACTATAAGTCAAGTAAAAGTTTAAAATAATGACTAATCTACTTAATCGCTTCCTTGTGCGTACTGCTAAGGAGTGGAATTCTCTGCCAGAGTCTGTATTTCCTGAAGAGTGTCTAACCGAGTGAATAGATTGCTTATGGGAGGACGTACTCTATCGTAGACCGCATCATCGCTTACCACCAGGCGAGATAGTGGTCAAACGTCGACCCATAAAATATACAGGGTGGAATTTTGTAATGCCACTTGAAGGGGAAGTCTCTCAGGAGTACTGTACTTTTATTGCATCGATCGTTCATTGTTTTCCTTTCATTAAATTTATGAAGTTTGTTAGAGAGATTTTATCCTTAGTGATCCTACTAATCGATTCGATTATCATGTGCGGCAAGCGAATTTTAAAAATCTTTGAATGCAGTTTTGTTTCTTTTCAAATATAAAAGAATATAAAATATAAAATATTCTATCTTAAATATTAAAAGTACTTCCTCTTCAGGTAGCATTACAAAATTCAACCGTGTATAAAAAAAATCAGCTTGCCTGCATTCTTAGAGCGTTTATTAAGGTCATTAAGACGACTAACTTCTAACGTATCTTGATCTTAATAACAATTTGTTCACAATATTAATCAGATTGTTGATGAGGAATAGGATATTTCAAGGTTGAGTCCATTGTACAGTAATGTAGGTTACTCACGACAACTGTTCAGCCAATGTTTTTAAACGTCATAAAACACTCGTACAATGCTTATGCAGGCAGGCAAGTACTATGTAGTGATTCTAAGCATTGGGTCATATTTGCGTGTGAATGGTTAAAGGATTTATTGCTCGCTGATTGAGTAAATTGAGCGAATTTAGTGGCAACTGTTACGTTGATAGTATGGAAGTTTTATAGCCTACCCATTATCTTGTTCTATTTTTTTAATGGAATAAGCGGGTAAACGAGCATATGGATCAAGTGATGATAAGCATTTGGTGTCGCCCATGGACACCTGGAACACCAGAGGCGTTACAAGTTCGTTACCGGCCTTTTGGGGATTAGAAGTTTGAAGATTTTTGGAGATTCAGCGATTGGGGAAGGGGGGGGGTAATTGGGCCTCCAGTAACCTCACTCACACGACGAAACACAACGCAAGCGTTGTTTCACGTCGGTTTTCTGTGAGGCCGTGGTATCACTCCGGTCGAAGCGGCCCATCCGTGCCGAAACATGGCTCTCCCACACTTGTTCTACAGGTCTTTCTGCACTCTGATGTGTTTACAAATATCATTTATACAGTTGTATGTTTGTAAACGCACGCACGACACAGGAGTGTGGGGAAACCATCCTAGTGTGGGGAAACGTTTTTCTAAGAAGAGAAAGAGAGTTGGTGGTTGCTGTTTACTGAAAGCCAAACATATCATCTATCATCTATATATATAAAATTCAAAGGTGATTGACTGACTGACTGACTGACATAGTGATCTATCAACGCACAGCCCAAACCGCTGGACAGATTGGGCTAAAATTTGGCATACACATAGATGTTATGACGTAGGCGTCCGCTAAGAAAGGATTTTGATAATTTCCACCCCCAAGGGGGTAAAAAAGGGGATGAAAGTTTGTATGAAACTTTGTCAGTTTTAAACCGATCGGGTTGAAATTTGGCATGCAGATAGATGTTATGACGTAAGCATCCGCTTTGAAAGGATTTTGATAATTTCCACCCCTAAGGGGGTAAAATAGGGGGTGAAAGTTTATATGATGCTTTGTCAGTTTTACACCGATGCAGATGAAATTCGGCATGCAGATAGATGTTATGACGTAAGCATCTGCTGTGAAAGGATTTTGATAATTTCCACCCCCAAGGGGGTAAAATAGGGATGAAAGTTTGTATGAAACTTTGTCAGTTTTAAACCGATCGGGTTGAAATTTGGCATGCAGATAGATGTTATGACGTAAGCATCCGCTTTGAAAGGATTTTGATAATTTCCACCCCTAAGGGGGTAAAATAGGGGGTGAAAGTTTATATGATGCTTTGTCAGTTTTACACCGATGTAGATGAAATTCGGCATGCAGTAGATGTTATGACGTAAGCATCCGCTGTGAAAGGATTTTGATAATTTCCACCCCCAAGGGGGTAAAATAGGGGATGAAAGTTTGTATGAGACTTTGTCAGTTTTAAACCGATCGGGTTGAAATTTGGCATGCAGATAGATGTTATGACGTAGGCATCCGCTGTGAGAGGATTTTGATAATTTCCACCCCCAAGGGGGTAAAATAGGGATGAAAGTTTGTATGGGACTTTGTCAGTTTTAAACCGATCGGTTGAAATTTGGCATGCAGATAGATGTTATGACGTAAATCTGCTGTGAAAGGATTTTGATAATTTCCACCCCCAAGGGGGTAAAATAGGGGATGAAAGTTTGTATGAAGCTTTGTCAGTTTTACACCGATGCAGATGAAATTCGGCATGCAGGTAGATGTTATGACGTAGGCATCCCAAGTAAGGATTTTGATTATTTCCACCTCCAATGGGGTAATGTAGGGGATGAACGTTTGTATGAAGCTTTGTCAGTTTTACACCGATCGGGTTGAAATTCGACGTGCAGATGGATATTATGACGTAAACGTCCCTTTAGAAAGGTTTTTGAACATTCTCACCCCAAAGTATGATACTTTGCCAGTTTTAAATTGATCGGGCTGACACATTGCATGCATAAATTTACTATGACATAGGTATCTCCTTAGAAAGGATTTTGATAAATTCCACCCCTAAGGGGATAAAATAGGAATGAGAGTTTGTAAAAATCTTCTTAGCCATTGAATTTAGAATCATTGAATCTTTTTGAATTACATTCGGTAAAACGATGATTTGGGACCTGGGTAACGTTTGATAGTTTTTATCACAGATGTCCCACGGGAACGGGAACTATTCGTCAATGCCCATATATATAAAATTCAAAGGTGATTGACTGACTGACTGACTGACATAGTGATCTATCAACGCACAGGCCAAACCGCTGGACAGATTGGGCTAAAATTTGGCATACACATAGATGTTATGACGTAGGCGTCCGCTAAAAGGATTTTGATAATTTCCACCCCCAAGGGGGTAAAAAAGGGGATGAAAGTTTGTATGAAACTTTGTCAGTTTTAAACCGATCGGGTTGAAATTTGGCATGCAGATAGATGTTATGACGTAAGCATCCGCTTTGAAAGGATTTTGATAATTTCCACCCCTAAGGGGGTAAAATAGGGGGTGAAAGTTTATATGATGCTTGTCAGTTTTACACCGATGCAGATGAAATTCGGCATGCAGATAGATGTTATGACGTAAGCATCTGCTGTGAAAGGATTTTGATAATTTCCACCCCCAAGGGGGTAAAATAGGGGATGAAAGTTTGTATGAAACTTTGTCAGTTTTAAACCGATCGGGTTGAAATTTGGCATGCAGATAGATGTTATGACGTAAGCATCCGCTTTGAAAGGATTTTGATAATTTCCACCCCTAAGGGGGTAAAATAGGGGGTGAAAGTTTATATGATGCTTTGTCAGTTTTACACCGATGTAGATGAAATTCGGCATGCAGATAGATGTTATGACGTAAGCATCCGCTGTGAAAGGATTTTGATAATTTCCACCCCAAGGGGGTAAAATAGGGGATGAAAGTTTGTATGAGACTTTGTCAGTTTTAAACCGATCGGGTTGAAATTTGGCATGCAGATAGATGTTATGACGTAGGCATCCGCTGTGAGAGGATTTTGATAATTTCCACCCCAAGGGGGTAAAATAGGGGATGAAAGTTTGTATGAGACTTTGTCAGTTTTAAAACCGATCGGGTTGAAATTTGGCATGCAGATAGATGTTATGACGTAGGCATCCGCTGTGAGAGGATTTTGATAATTTCCACCCCCAAGGGGGTAAAATAGGGGATGAAAGTTTGTATGGGACTTTGTCAGTTTTAAACCGATCGGGTTGAAATTTGGCATGCAGATAGATGTTATGACGTAGTAATCTGCTGTGAAAGGATTTTGATAATTTCCACCCCCAAGGGGGTAAAATAGGGGATGAAAGTTTGTATGAAGCTTTGTCAGTTTTACACCGATGCAGATGAAATTCGGCATGCAGGTAGATGTTATGACGTAGGCATCCCAAGTAAGGATTTTGATTATTTCCACCTCCAATGGGGTAATGTAGGGGATGAACGTTTGTATGAAGCTTTGTCAGTTTTACACCGATCGGGTTGAAATTCGACGTGCAGATGGATATTATGACGTAAACGTCCCTTTAGAAAGGTTTTTGAACATTCTCACCCCAAAGTATGATACTTTGCCAGTTTTAAATTGATCGGGCTGACACATTGCATGCATAAATTTACTATGACATAGGTATCTCCTTAGAAAGGATTTTGATAAATTCCACCCCTAAGGGGATAAAATAGGGAATGAGAGTTTGTAAAAATCTTCTTAGCCATTGAATTTAGAATCATTGAATCTTTTTGAATTACATTCGGTAAAACGATGATTTGGGACCTGGGTAACGTTTGATAGTTTTTATCACAGATGTCCCACGGGAACGGGAACTATTCGTCAATGCCCATATATATAAAATTCAAAGGTGATT